TATTAATATAGCCACTCTTCAGGTTTTAGTTATGTCCATGTTTTGCAAAGTATTCGCTATGTCTGTGCTAATCTATTTTCGTTATTGTTCAATTTTAAAATGTATTAGTATCAGAAGGAGTTTTTGTGGATATCATAGTAAATTCAATAGTTGAGATCATTAGTCAGTTGATTCAGTTTATATATTTCAATTCATTATTTTAATTATATGAGAATTGTGTAAAATATTGTTTAATAATCAGTGACCAATGAAGTTCAACCAGATCTGTTGTAAGATAGTAACTCGCTAAAGACAATGGTGAACGGTGTCGCTCAATGTCGTGGATTAGTTGAAGTTAGACATTAAAACTGTTGGATTGCCGGCTCAGTGGTCTAGAGGTTAAGCGTCCGCGCGCATGACTGATAAGTCTTACGTCCGAATCTCGCGAGGACGAAACGGCCGTCCAATGCTTCCAGGTTGTCCATAGTGATCTAGCTTCAATTGACTCATGATCTCAACTATTGAAATTAAAAATATATTGTTTGGTTAGTATTATTAACAGTTACTAGTGTTGACCATAATTATTTATTAGTATATAATCTACTATAAGTTAGATTTATTTTGCATGTATAAATAGCATTCAATATTCAAGTTTGTGGAATAAATTTCCATCAAAACTATAAAGAATTCCCGTCACATTTAAATGCTGGTAGACGAACAAAGAACTTCTTTGTTCTACAAATATATATGTCAATCAATAATTTAAAAAAGTAAACAGGCATTAAGCCAAATGGATCGTCTAAAATTATAACATGTGGGTTTAAGATTATTTATGAAGTAGAATAAAATTATTTATTACCAGTTTTCGACTGAGATCATGAACCGACTGGTGTTAGACCACCATTGAAAACCTGGAAGCACTGGAAGGCCGTCTAGTCCTATTGTGGGACTTCTCAGCAATTCGCATCCACGATCCTGCTCGCGGGATTCAAACCCAGGGCTTTAAGTCTCGCGCGCGAACACATGGACTAAAGTCCATGTTGATTTTCTAAAAATGGATCGTTTGACTGAGCCATCTTCTCATCTACTCGTCTACTTTTATTTATATATATAAATGCTCTTAACAAGTATATGTGTGTGATCATATTGTTCGAAATGTTGTACTGAGCTAATATATCATATAGTTCTTATTACATTATAGAAATGAAAACATCATAAACTGATTCGATACTTCTATTATTCGATAAGATTACACAATAATCAAATTGTAAAAAAAGGCATATGAAGATGGAGATAATTTATAAGTCTATCAGATTGACAGATCTAGAGAAGACCAAAAAAGGAACTAACCCATAAAGGTCATAATAATAAAAACTAATGGGTTGTAGTTATCAATTTGATACGCATCTTTCTTTGACCCTAATTTCCTTCTTTTTTATTATGTTTTCTTCTTCATTCATCATTATTGATTTTTCTAAATTAATGTCTTTGTAATTTTAAACAGTAATCAGTTATTATTACCCTTTAAAAAATTTTCATGATTATTACTCAGTTTTTTTTATGATTATGACCTTCATGTTTTTCCTTTTTTCAGGGGGGGGGGTTCTTCAAATATATCAATCGGATAGATCCATAAATTATTTCCATCCAGATATGTTCTTCTCTTACCCCTTGATTATTGAGTAACTTTATCTAATAATAGAAGTATCGAATCAATTTATGATGTAATCTTTTTGATTGAAATCATGAGTCGATTGAAGCTAGACCACCATGGGAAACCTGGAAGCACTGGACGGTCGTTTCGTCCTAGTATGGGACTCCTCAGCAGTGCGCACCCACGATCCCGCACCCCGCGAGATTCGAGCCCAGGACCTGTCAGTCTCGCACCAGGCGTTTAACCAAATAGACCACTGAACCGGCATCCAATGGAGTTAATGTCTAACGTCAATCAATCCACGAAATTACGCGACCATCTTCCATTTTACTGAGGTAGACACCTGCTTCTACCCGACACAGATTAGCTCCACTGATGTAATCATTTCTATCCATCTATAGATATATATTTTCCATATAACTACAAATACGGATGTACAGTGAATGATTTCATCGAATGAAAAGTTTTCTTCATTGAATTCTGTTTATTTCCATTCAAGAACACTGTATGTTATTTTATTTATGTTACATATGATAGTTTAATTAGTCAGATTTATCTTTTTTTCTATTTGATTACAAGAAAATCAATCAGCCACTGAACTAATAATAATAATAATAATAATAATAATAATAATAATAATAAAAAATCGATAGTTCCTGGGTTCGAATCCTGCGAACGGGATCGTTGGTGCGCACTGCTGAAGAGGACGAAACGGTCGCTCAATGCTAATGCATCACTAAAATCTCCACAAAACCTCCTTCTGGTATTAATGTCAGTGTAGAAAATCCTGGTTGATTAGTACTCGTAATTCAGGTGTTTGTATAACAACCATTTTGATAGTTTGTTTATCTGATCTCTTCAAAATATTTCTCAATGATCATTTAGTTAGTTTTTTTCTTCAGATCAATATATGAATGTGTAAGATATGTTTACTAGATTCACTCAGTGTTTGTTTTAATTGTATCTTCCAATTGTTACTTAGGACTGCAACTGATCAGTCTCATGTTGGCATATGTACATCCTGTGCGGATTGCATCAATATAGCTTTAAGTCACAAGCTTTTTAATCGAAGATCGATAATAGCTAGCAGTGGAATCCAGTTTGATGATTGTTTCATCTTATTTGGGACTCGTCAGCAGGATGTAACTGCATCTCAGAGTTGATGTTCACCCCAGGACTCGAACCCAGTTTACTAGACCCTATAAATCTGAATGTTTCTTCATGTATTCTTCTTAACTGTCGTGAGTTATTTTTCACTAATTTACCATCCATGAACTTATAAAAGAATATCAGTGTAAAATGGTGTATTATGACATTCAAAAATATTTAGCTTCTGTAACTAATCTAAAAACTTGATACTACATTACAGAAATGATTATTACATTTAAAAGTAAATAAGTATTGAACGTGTGACATTGAAAAGTCTTGAGAAGTTATTTCTTATTCTAAGTGATCCTTCACATATTACATATATGATTTCAACAATAAAGGAATACTGTTTTAATGAAAATCTAGTAAAATAAAGCTCTATTATATGAAAGTTAGATGAACTGAACTAGTTAATTTCAGTTTATGTTTTTCAATCTGACAAATATAAGTAATCGTACAGTGGGTTTTATGGAAAGTGATGAATGTTTGCAGTTTAAAATTGCAAATTATTCATAGTCAGACAATCCTTCAAAACTAACACATACTGGACAATTGTTTCATTGTGGTATGAAACTCATCAACAGTTTGTACATACCATCCATATCATGATAAAATCGGTATCCAGTGATTCTTGGTTTTCACTGATTATCTAATTAACATCAATCCTTGATGTAGATGAAAGAAAAAACCCAAGTATAACATAGATTTTCTGTTTAAGTTTAAAATGAAATATCTATGTTTCTTTAAGAGTCCAATCCGTTATCTACACAAAAAAGATTTCACTATTGCTAAGAAAACTCGTTATGTGTCTCCCTTTTTTTCTTTCTTTCTCTCAAATAATCGGTTTTTTGAAGCCATTTTGTAAAACGTAAATCTCACGAGACTCACTGACTGAGGTTAGACACTAACACCGTTGGATGCCGGATCAGTGGTCTAGAAGTTAAGCGTTCGCGCGCGAAACTGAAGGCCCTGGGTTCGAATTCCATGAGCGGGATCGTGGATGCACATTGCCGAGGAGTCCCACAATAGGACGTATTGGCTGTCCAGTGCTTCCAGATATTCAATAGTGATCTAACATCAATGGGTTCACGATATCAATCAAAAGTTGTAGTTATTTCAGTAGTTGAGATCATGAGTCAGTTGAAGCTAGACTACGATGTAAAATCTGGAATCATTGGCCGTTTTGTCCTATTGTGAAACTCTTCAGTACTATGCATCCACAATCTCGCCTCGCGACATTCTAACCCAGGATCTATGAGTCTCGTACACGTGCGCTTAACCACTAGACCACTGAGCCGTCATTCAACAGTGTTAATTTCTAACTTCAACTAATCCACGAAATTGAGCGACACCGTTCACCATTGTTTTCAGTGAGTTACTATCTCACAACAGACTCGGTTAAACTTCACTGGTCACTACTTCTCACTAGAACTCCAGAATGTACATCATGAAACCAGTCACTAGTGAGCATTTGATTAATATCAGGAGGGGTTTTTTCAATTTAAAATTATTTAAAATAGCATTCAGAAAATTAAGTTAAAATAACTATATTTCATGCAAAACTTTAAACAATACATTAGTCAATGTATAATATATATTTATATACGTATAACAACATAACAATTATATTATCCTTTCTAACAGTAGAACTATTCCATTGAATTCATTAGACAGAAGACCACATTTAACACATATTGAATTGAATGTTACTATAAACTATAAACGACAATTTCTCATTCAGTATTATTCATAAAACATATCACCAACATTATGAATTGAAATGATCGAAAGTAGAAGAAAAGAAAAGAAAAACAAAACAAAGAAAAATAAACATAATTCAGTATACCAAATGGTTTCGAGCATTCAAAATAAAGTCTAAATAATAATTTACATTTAAGATAGGCGCTTATATTAAATAATGAATGAGAAATTTGGATTAATTCATATCCATAAAACAATTTGATGAGAACATAATAATCACGTTTAGGTATATAGTTACACACAAAAGAAAAATAAAAGGTAAATAGGAAAATATGAAGTTCAATAGTACTGTCCATTAACATTGGTTTATTATGACAGTTATGAATGTGTTTAGTTAATGATAATTAAACCATAGTTAAATTCAATGAGTAATTTCTTTCATTTTTTTCGTTTGTTTTTATTTTGGTTTAATTAGATTTATTCTTCACCATCTAAAATATAGGAAAGAAAGAATAAAATATATGTATATATATAGTTAGATAATGTGCCCTCATGGGGTAGAGTAATTTTACATTGGTTTTCAGGAGATCTAGACACCATCCAGACTTTCATGTGACAATACAAACAGTACAACTCAATCCCGTTTAACAGGAGAACCAGACACCGTGTAGACTTTAACTCTATAATCTGAATAGTACAGCTTAATCCTGTGGCACAATCACCCAGGTAACAATCACTCTAGTAGACCCTATCTTTCGAATTAACTGATTATATTGTAAAGTTTCTTTAGTTTTTCTAAATAATATAGTTGAAAAACAATCAGTGTGTAATTTAAGAATTTCCATAGTAATCTTGTTTTATCAAGATGAAAGGGAGGGTTTAGAAAAAGTTGGACTGAAAAGTAGTACACCTTATCTTTTCTTCCCTCTGATGGAATACTTTCTTCCAGAGATAATGTGGTGTGTGCTACTAATATCGATGTGAGTAGTATATAACGATAGTCAGGATTAGAATTTCTGGCAGTAGAAGGTCGTGAAGGAAAGAACGGGAACATAAAGCAATTAGTATGAAAATGCAGGAACAATGAAATGTGAGACGATTGATTCATCTTCGCAAAAGGAACAGTACGTTTTGAGACAATTAAGTATTTACTGTATGGTTCTCAGATTTTTACTAAGACGTTTTGTAATTTTGTGTTCAAATACATTTGATTATCCTCACTTCTGTTCTCGTTCACTACAACAACACCTTAAAAGTATTGGGTGAACAGATTAGAAACTACCTGAGAAAATGCCGTGTATAGTCGACCTCAAGCAGTCGTTTCTAGGTCATTGTAGCTATGCTTTCGAGCTTTCAAGATCACTGCTGTTCCGATTTCAGTTTCAGGCACTCTAAAGAGTAGTATTTTGTCACAGCAATAGTAATCAGAATACAACAACCAATCACACATATGTAACAGCATTTGAGTTAGCCTTGTTCTTGATCGTATCCATCTGTTACTTTCCAACATTTCGTCTATTCCCATTATGAATTCTCTTCTTATGACTTCATCTTTATCTCAATACTTCATCTACATTAAAGATTAGAGTTTATGAACTGATTTCTTGATTATTTGCCTAACAAACTATAATTCTCAGAGAATTCTCACTGAACTACAATTATTCTCTCTCATATAAGTCTTTCAAAATCATTAAAGACAATACTGTTCTTTTAAAAATATACACCATGGTCTATATAACCTCATCTTGAAATTAAAGTTAAATTATTGATAACATATTTCCAAAGCCTACACTTCTGAAATAAATTAAGAATTGAACTTTTAGTAAAAAAAAAACAAAAATGAAACTATGAAATGTAATAACATTAGAAAAACAAACAAACGAATGCAGTTACATTTGATGAAGCTACTACTGTTTCAATAATGAATCGATTCATATAAACTTCATACTTAATGCATTAGTTTATAGGGTAGAACAGAACGAAAACACCTCATATATTGTATTCACAAATACAGTTTATGTAAAAGTATTTCTATCATGGTAAAATAATACATATATATTGTTTTCTGTTATAGAAAATTTATATTTCTGACGTTTCGTAACTTAATATAAGCTGCTTCTTCAAAGTAAATAAATGGCCGAATCAAATGAATATAAGTTTAAATAGTACAAAGGGAACAATGAAGAATATTTTTGGTATAATCAATCATAATAAATCTGAATTTGTCAATATCAGGTTATTCTTGATCAAAATGAATTTACATGAACAGTGAAAAATAAATAATCTACATACACACCTAATATCAACCCCGTTATTTGATAGTACAATTGTATACATTTTGACATAATAATGAAAATAAATGTAAATAGGCTGGTTAAAAGTAATTGATTTCTATAATTAAGTGTTAAACATCTAATATTAACTATAAGTAAAACTGAAAGACTAATATTTTAGTGACTATAGTTGATGAGTATTATATCTACAACTTACCCTATCAGTTATAATCCAAATAATGAATAATAAAGAAATCAGATAAAGCGGACTAATTAGTAAAGCAGGCAAAAAGTACATTTCAATTACAACTTTTCCTAACAACAACAACAAAAAAAAACTCTCATCACTTAAATAATTATCCACCTCATACAATTGATGAAGGGTTGCGTAAGATTATAGATTGGTTGAAGTTAGGTATTAACACCGTTGGATGCCGGTTCAGTGGTCTAGATTTTAGGCGTTTGCGAGCGAAACCGAAGGTCTCGGGTTCGGATCCCGTGCGTGGGATCGTGGATGTGCACTGCTGGGGAGTTCCATACTTTGGCGAAACGACCCTCCAGTGATTCCAAGTTTCAAATGGTGATCTTTTTTAGATGGACTCCTGAATTCAACTATTACTATGATTTTCACAAACCTCTATACTGATTTAAAAATAATTCACAGTTAAAACAAGAAATAGACAGAGATTTCCAAACCAGCCTAGTAAAAAAATATTAAACTAATGAAATCAATGAATGATTTAGGTATGATTTATTATTCACTAAAGTTTTATTTTAGTTTTCTACTACATTTAATAAAAATATAGTAGAAAGCAATTATGTATATTCAGTATTATTTCATTGTTACTCGTTCTATGCATACAGGTTAAATAACCGTAGATAAAGGTGATTTTGAAGGATACAAATGAAGAATTCGAAAATCATTATCTTTATTCAAGATTTATTTGTAATTTGAGTAGTACTGTGATGTGTACTACTAATGTCGATTGATATAAGTAGTATATATCATTAGTCGGAAGTGAAATACCTGGCAGCAGAAGGTTAAGATCAAAGAGAAGAGAATGAGAACAAGAAATGGTTAGTGTGAAAACGAAAGAACGATGAGATGATTGGCTGATATTTGCAAAAGGAACAGTCAAGTTTGAGACAATTGATTGATATTTTACAAATGAAGTATTTACTGTATAGTTCTCAGATTTTACGAAGATGTTCGGTAATTTTGTGTTCAAATACATTTAATAAACCTTACTTGTGTTCTCGTTCACTACAGTACTTAATGCATTCAATAATTAAACAAACTAATGTCATTTTACTTCATAATATTTATGTAATAACAATCTTTTCCTCTTCAAAATATTCTATTGTTATGTTAATGCATCTGTCTTATCTCTGTAATCATAATTTAGATTATCCCTAAAGGTCATCCAAAATCACATACTTCAGTAACCTTAACTATTTCCTTTTTATCCTCTTCATATCAGACCACTTCTACACGTGAATGATAATTCCATGTTTAAGGAAAGAAATGAAATCAAATAAGACTATATCTAGTTAGTAGGTAAGGTATGTTAGTGTAACTCCGCCTGTAGCTCTTCTAGAGTTACTGCCGGTCCCAAGCCCGGGTAAAGGAGGAGGGTTGGGCATAGGGTTAGCGTCCCCATCCCGTAGAAAACTAACTCGCTAAAAAAACGCTTGCCAGAAAAAATAATTCAAACCATTTTAACTCTGCCCTGAGAGTTAGAAGGTCTTCATTTAGAAGAATTATGACGCTTCATGGTGAAAGCCGAGTACCTTCGGAAGCCACGAGGCCGATGCCCCTTCTAACAACCAGAGCAAAAATTTTTATAGGTACATGGAACGTTCGAACAATGTGGGAAACCGGGAAGACCAGCCAAATAGCAACGGAAATGAGGAGATACAACTTGGCAGTACTGGGAATCAGCGAAACCCACTGGACCCAAGCTGGACAGAAAAGGCTAGCTACGGGAGAGATGCTGCTATACTCCGGTCACGAAGAGGAAAATGCTCCACACACTCAGGGAGTTGCTCTAATGCTGTCCAAAGTAGCACGAAATGCACTTGTAGGATGGGAATCCCACGGATCCAGAATCATCAAAGCATCATTCAAAACAAAGAAGGAGGGGATCTTAATGAATATTATCCAATGTTATGCACCCACCAATGATAGCAACGACGACATTAAAGATCAATTCTACGAGCGGCTGCAGTCAATCATAGAGAAATGCTCAAGAAAGGACCTCACCATTCTGATGGGAGATCTAAATTCCAAGGTCGGAATAGACAACACTGGATATGAAGATATTATGGGACGACATGGACTAGGAGAAAGAAACGAAAATGGAGAAAGATTTGCAAATTTGTGTGCATTCAACAAATTAGTCATAGGAGGCACAATATTTCCACACAAGCGTATACACAAGGCTACATGGATCTCACCGGACCACACTACAGAGAACCAAATAGATCATATTTGCATCAACAAAAAATTCCGAAGGACAATGGAAGATGTGAGAACCAGGAGAGGTGCTGACGTAGCTTCAGATCACCACCTAGTTGTAGCCAATTTAAAATTGAAGCTAAAAAAGAACTGGACAAGTGGACAAACAGCACTACAAAGGTTCAATACAGCCCTCCTTCGAGATACTGTCAAACTCAATGAATTCAAGATAGCTCTCAACAACAGGTTCCAAGCCTTTCAAGATCTACTGAAGGAAGAAGAGACTACCATGGAGGACAACTGGAAAGGCATCAAAGAAACATTGACTTCAACGTGTCAAGAGGTTCTGGGCCTAAAGAAACACCATCATAAGGAATGGATCTCTATAGAAACACTGGATAAGATCAAAGAAAGGAAGAACAAGAAGACAGCAATTAACAACAGCCGAACACGAGCAGAGAAAGTCCAAGCACAAGCTGAATACATAGAAGCAAACAAGCAAGTGAAGAGGAGCATTAGAGCCGACAGGAAGAAATACGTGGAAGAATTAGCAACGACGGCAGAAAAAGCTGCTAGAGAAGGAAATATGAAACAGCTCTACGATACAACGAAGAAACTATCAGGGAAATACAGTAAACCAGAGAGGCCGGTCAAAGACAAAGAAGGCAAGCCAATCACTGAAATTCAACAACAGCGAAACAGATGGGTAGAATACTTCGAGGAACTCCTGAATAGGCCGGCTCCAATGAATCCACCGAACATCGAAGCAGCACACACAGATCTCCCTATAGATGTCAACCCACCAACGACGGAAGAAATTAGAATGGCCGTCAGACAAATCAAGAGCGGGAAAGCAGCAGGACCCGACAACATACCAGCTGAAGCACTGAAATCAGACGTCGAAGTAACCACAAGCATGCTTTACCCTCTATTCAAAAAGATTTGGGAGGAGGAACAAGTGCCGATGGACTGGAAAGAAGGACACCTCATCAAGATTCCAAAGAAAGGAGATCTGAGCAAATGTGAAAACTACAGAGGCATTACACTACTGTCAATACCAGGGAAAGTCTTCAACAGAGTGTTGCTGAACCGGATGAAGGATGCAGTAGATGCCCAACTTCGAGATCAACAAGCTGGATTCCGAAAGGATCGGTCGTGCACAGACCGAATTGCAACACTACGGATCATCGTCGAACAATCAGTTGAGTGGAACTCGTCACTATACATCAACTTCATTGATTATGAAAAGGCATTCGACAGTGTAGATAGGAGGACGTTATGGAAACTTCTTCGACACTACGGAGTTCCTGAGAAGATTGTCAATATTATCCGGAACTCATACGAAGGACTACAGTGCAAAGTAGTGCATGGAGGACAGCTGACAGATGCATTCCAAGTAAGGACCGGAGTCAGACAAGGCTGTTTACTCTCTCCCTTCCTCTTTCTTCTGGTGGTCGACTGGATTATGAAGACCTCAACATCTGAAGGAAAACACGGAATACAATGGACAGCTCAGAACCAATTAGACGATCTGGACTTCGCAGATGACCTAGCCCTCCTATCACGTACACACGAACAGATGCAGATGAAGACAGCCAGTGTATCAGCAGTCTCTGCATCAGTAGGCCTCAGTATACACAAAGGGAAAACCAAGGTCCTCAAATTCAAAGCGGAGAACAGCAATCCAATCACCCTTGATGGCGAAACTCTGGAAGATGTAGAATCCTTCACATACCTGGGAAGCATCATCGATGAACAAGGAGGTTCGGATGCAGACGTAAAGGCGAGGATTGGCAAAGCAACGGCCACATTCCTACAATTGAAGAACATATGGAACTCAAAACAACTTTCAACCAATATCAAAGTGAGAATCTTCAATACGAATGTCAAGGCAATTCTACTGTATGGAGCTGAAACTTGGAGAACTACAACAACCACAATCAAGAAAGTACAAGTATTTATAAATAACTGTCTACGCAAGATACTCAACATCCATTGGCCGGATACCATCAGCAATAGCCTTCTGTGGGAGAGAACAAACCAACTTCCAGCTGAAGAGGAAATTAGGAAAAGACGATGGAAATGGATAGGACATACATTACGCAAATCGTCAAACTGCATCACGAGGCAAGCTCTAGCTTGGAATCCTGAAGGGAAGCGGAAAAGAGGAAGGCCAAAGAACACATTACGTCGGATAATAGAAGCAGATATGAAAAGGATGAATTACAACTGGAAGGAGCTGGAAAGGATTGCCCAGGACAGGGTTGGATGGAGAATGCTGGTGAGCGACCTATGCTCCTTCACGAGGAGTAACAGGTGTAAGTAAGTAAGTAAGTATGTTAGTGTGGTTATTGAATTAACTCTCTTAACTTTACGACTAACAACATTCTGTTGGTTAGTTACATTATTCTAGTGTAGTGGCCATTATTCATGATTACATAAATTTTAGTGGGACGTAAATTAAAATAATTCGTCTTGAAACAGAAAAAGTGATGACAATAAAACAGGAAAGTAAGTAAAATAAACTGAGCTGCACACAATTACAAGGTACAACAAAACTAATTAATTAGGGATTATAGTCATTTCTGCAAATAAATCTTAATGATCATTGATTAGAAGTTATATAATATCAGGACGCTAGGATTAGATTAACTGTTGGGTGGTAAACAATGAAACATTGTGCAATTGAACATTTGTTTTGTTATATCTCTAACTAATAATCTATATAACCAATTGGACCTATTTGTTGTACAGATAATGTAAAGTTTTCATTTGACTATTTGTTTCCTATTTTGCTATGACAATAATGTAACAAATTATACACCAGTTTATTATGACTACTGACTTCAAAGAGTTGGTTTGTGTCTCTTAACTTGATGTATATTACAATATAGGTCCTTTTTCTAATGCCCAGTTTGTCTTTGTTTATAGTATAATATAACTTATACATTTCTCTACTACAAATTACAATTCAAACATTGAATATCAACGATCACCCTAGTGTAGCACTTATAGTCTGATTCATGACTGCATATTTTGTGTATTTTTACTTAAAGTAATTAAAAAAGTAGACTTATAAAGTAAATGTACGTTATTTTAATAAAAAGACAAAAGAGATAGCTGCTTATTGTTTACCAGTTAACTTTTTGAAAAGTGAATCGCCAAATTTATATGTAAAAACATTCTAGTTTAAGTACAACATCTTCTATGAAAAAGATGCATGATTCCAATAATTCTGTTATAAATATAACAGAATTATAAAAAAATTATTATATTTATGCCTCCAAATGCCCTGGTACAGCAGAGGGTGAAGAGATTCATCTCTCCCTCTCAAAATGCTCTCATATGGCCATGCGTATACAGCCACTCCCAAGGAAGTCCCACTCACTACATTATCGCAGCATTACTGTTGTTTACGAAATTGTTAGAACGAAAAGCAAATGTTCGGCGCTTTAACCGGGTCGGTGGACATGGAGGATCCACCTACGGGAGTCGGAAAAGCCTAATTCCAAACTAGTGATCCACATGGGCTACAGGATCCTGAAGGAACAAATGGTGTATGAACCAATTGTTGGTCACTGGCTACCATGGGACTAACTTTGCTCCACTGCCTTGTGGATTAGACCTTTAGGTCAAATGCTACGGTGTGGTCTCTTAAGATAACCACTTGCTTCGGTCTGGGCACCCGGGTAGTATCATAGCCCACACACACATGAAGTGAATTTTTAAAAGGAAGAAATTCATCTATATAACCATTGCTCTTTATGTATAAATTGCTTATTGAACATGTCAGTAATTTCATTTATCAAAGCAATTATTCATGGAAGATAAGTTAATATTGTGAATAAAAGTAATTTTTTCGATTGATAAGATAATAAATTATAAAATACAAGATGTGTATCAGTGAATTTGAAGTTTATCCGATTTCAGTGTTTGATTTATGATAGGTATCATGCATTTTCAGTCATTTTTCCGTTTATTTAATCAGAGGGCACTGCATGTAAAGGAATTATTCTAACTGAGGATTCTATTTCAAGCTCAAATTTTCATGTTATCTACTTTTTTTCATCCATATTACGGTGATTTACAGTGATGACATGATGAAAGACATATTTGTTGGATAGCTTTAAACGATTAAAATGAAATCTTCAGTGTAAAGTATGCTCTTATATTAAATATGCATCATTTGAATGAACCTAAGAATACTTGAAAACACGTGATATGGTACTTTTACCGAACATTTATTAAAGAATGGTTAACTTCACACTACCAGAAGATACTGGTGTTTCGTGAATAAAACTGACAATAAATGTATGCAGAACAACTGTAAAAGATCTGATTTTCGATAAAAGATTACGTGGTGAGATTCTAAGTAATGGCTACATTTTATTCTATAAACGAAAGTTATCCTAACTATAAATGAAAATTGGGACAAATTTTATATGAAAGAAATTTTCGATTAAAATGTGTAATATAACTTGACTTTCGATATTTCGCTGCTATGAATCGATGAGTGAATAGGTGGTCAATCATTTGTAAATGTATCTCAGTCTTGTAAGAGTTCAATATCGGTACAACTAGCTTCAAGATAAATTGTCTAACTATGAAGCTAAGTGACACGGAATTTAATTCGTAAAAAAGTATCATCTTGAAAATTACAAATACATCTTTCGGACAAGTGCCAAATATCATGAAACCTAATCTAAGGGTTTCTTATTGACGACCTTTAACCACCACTTTACAGATATTACCTAAAAATAAAAGCATATCACTATATCAAGGATGGATAGTGGCTAGAAGTGAAATCCGGTTTGACGCGCGTTTCGTCCTATTTGGGACTCGTCAGCTTCATGTACCTGCATCTCAGAGTTGATGTTCACTCTTGGACTCGAACCCAGTACTGTTAGCTTCGAACGCCATCGTGTTATCCATATTTGCTTAAAAAGCACGTGACTTAAGGCTATATCGATGCAATCCGCACAGGATGTACATATGCCAACATGAGACTGATCAATTGCAGTCTTAAATAACAATGGAAAGATACAAGTAAAACAACACCAAGCGAATTTATATCACTCTATATCTATCATAAACTCTGAATAGATCTAAACGTTTCGTTTTAATACTGATAAACTACTATTTGATTATTGTTTTCTCATACATAAATCTATTAAGTGAATGCTTATAAAGCATTTGAAATTATCTATAAATGCAAGATAAGGTTTATTTCCTATATGTTACATTTAGCAATGCTTAAACCATTACAATTTTAGGCAACAAAAAGAAATCCACTTTCATCAATCAACATAACGTTATCTAATTTTGTGAAAGAAAAGGATTAATTCTAAACTATGCAGATGTTAGATTAATTAGTTTACATTAGTAAAAGGACTCAAACCAGATGACAGACTGAGAAAATTACTCAAATGAATGTAAATTGTTCTTAGAGAAAATTGTTCAGACATCAAATGTAACTTGAGCAATTAAGATTGTTTTGTTTTGTTTTTTTCTCAGACAAACCATTAAAATGCAATCAATTAATGGAAAGTACATTATTCAATTAGAAAGAAAATTAAACATTCCAAAAATCTTTAATAGTTGAATTTATGAATCCATTGTAGCTAAACAACCATGGAATTCCTAGAAGCACTAAATGGTAATTTCGTGTTAGTATGGGACTCCTCAACAGTACATATCCAAGATCCTAGTTTAAATAATGAATTAATCATAACTAGACAACCACTAAAATCTAGAAAGCACTAGAACAACTATTTAGTCCTAGTATGAAACACTTTAACAATGCACAACCACAATCCTCTCATATGAAATCAAACCTAGAAACTATGATTTTATACATGAACGTTTATTCTCTTAACCACTGACGCAGTATCTAACGACGTTAATCAATGTGTGATTATTCAAATAGTAATCGATCAACTATAACTTACTTCTATAATCTCTTTCAATAACAACTATAGGTGAAACAAATAAGATAAAAAAAATATTTGGAAAAATACATATTTATTTATTGAAATAAAAATATGAATGAATAAAAAGTAATTTCACTGGTTGAAATCATGAGTCAAATGAAGCTAGACCACCATGGAAAACCTGGAAGCACTGGACGATTGTTTCGTCCTAGTATAGGACTCCTCAGCAGTGCTTCCAGTTGTTTCCATGGTGGTCTAGCTTCAACTGACTCATGATTTCAACCAGTGAAATTTCTAAAATCTCCACAAAATCCATTCTGAAAAAGTAATTTGTAATAAAGTGTTGAAAATTAAAAAATTTTTTTTAAAAATTAGTATGAATTAACCATTGTTAACACACACACACACACACACACGTAAAACACATTTTATTACACACACTTTCAGAAACAAGGTAATAATGAGCGTTCGTAAATTTATTTTTTCAGTAATTTTTTTGTTTTTAATGAGCAGTTAGGAAACTTTTTTTTATTATTTTTTTTTAAAAACAAAACTACGTAAACACTTGATTCAATCGAATTTAAGAAAATATGCGTAGTACTGAATCAATAGTTAGTCACTAATCAATCTATTGAATTAATAATAAGATTTAAATGAAGAGATTGATGTCCGTTTGTTGTTGTTGTTGTTTTGTTTGTTTTTTTAGTATTCATAAAATAGTTTATCTTACCCCACTCAAGTTGTTTCACATTCTCGAAATATACCCTAAATGATGTAGTTAATATTAATGTTTTGTTGATGTTATTGTTGTTGTTGTTAGAATGTTTAGTTTTAGTACTAAATTATTCATTAAAAATGATTGTTTTTATTTCTATCTAATTAATCAGTTGGATAATTGAATATAATGCTGAATTGTAGTGATTAATTATATAAGTACACTATTATTATAATTTAAGATGACTAAATTATTGTAGACTTATAAGCAAAGATAGTGGCTAGAAGTGGAATGCAGGGCGCACGTTTCGTCTTATCTAGGACTCGTTAGTTGGATGTACCTGCATCTCAGAGTTGATGTTCACCCTGAGACTCGAACTCAGTAATGTTCGCTTCAAATGTTATCGCGTTATCCACTTATCCACTGAGTCTCAGAGTGAACATCAACTCTGAGATGCAGGTACGTGAGGCTTACAAGTCCCAAATAGGACGAAACGCGCGTCACACTGGATTCCACTGCTAGCAACTATTCATTTTTGCACATAATGTTTGTGACTTAGGGTAATATGCATATATACTAATAAGAGACTGATCAGTTGCATTCTTGAACGTCAATTGGAAGATCCAAGTAAACAATACTGTACATCACCAACGTAGATGATCTATGTCGAAATGATCGGAGGCCCACTCGAGTTAGACGTGAATGTTGTGACAAACTAGCTAACGTCGAAGTCACACCTCATGGTCAGCACCTTACGTGGACTACCCCAATGACGTATCAAGGTAGGGCTTAGTGACATTTCGCTGGTCCTACAATACCAAGTAAATTTATTGTATACTTAATTTTCAAATGAAATGTTTGTTCATGTTATATAACGATATGGTAAACTTCATTCTTCATTTAATTGGATTGATTAACAATATTTATGAATAAAATATGGAAAATATTAAACTTGAGAAACAAGAATAAGCTGATCTATCATTACGATTTTTCTCTTTCAATAATCTGTCTATCAAACAAGCTCTAGGAATTGTGGTTCAAAGTTTTTCACGGCTACATTACTTCACAATGTTTATATTAATTTTAGTTTCAAGATGCATAGTTACTAGCTAATCAATTATTTTAAGGTTTGTCAGGAATCATTGCGAAATTAAGTGAAAAACAACCGTTTCATAAAGAATAATGGTGCACATGGGTTCCAGTATCCTGTGGGAACAAATGGCGTATGGACCAATCGTTGACCACCGGCTACCATGGGAATGCATCTCCTTACGTTGCTCCACTGCCTTGTGGATCAGACCTTTAGGTCGCAGGCTCGGGGAGTGGCCCCCTGAGAAAACCACCTGCTTCGGTTTGGGCACCCGGGTAGTATCACAGCCTTCACACTCATCGAATGAAATTTGTGTGGCGCATATTTATTTGGTGCCTCCTTGTACCAATATCTATGTGTTAAAATAAAACAAATAAATAATAAATACATAAAGAAGAATAATTGTGAACCAATAAAAAGAAAAAAAATATTAAACTTACTATTATGTCCACGTTGTTTACAGTCTACAGGTGAATAAAGCGGTACTATATCTGTAGAAAGATGAAAATCACTTTGGTTTTCATGTTTTCTTAAAAAAATTTAACTTTTTAAACACTGTTCTCCCGCCTCTTCATTGTAAGTGACAAATTTCGGACGATAATGTAACTCACCAACGTCATCATCATCATCACCATTATTATTATTATTATCATCATTATTTTAACCGTGACAAATAAATTCATCATAAGAGTGATACTTTCAACCAAACAAACAATAGTATAACTTACCAGACTGAATACAGGTAAGTAAACGTGTTAACTAATGACTCGTTATAAAGTCTTTACTTCGCATGGAAACTTGCGATATGATATATAAATGAGATTAATTTTGATGATTTGAATAGATGGAGAAGTATTATTGTTCACTGTTTTTACTTGCTATATAAAACAGGGTTAATGCTAGAGACTGTTTCTATGCTCATCATTACATTCATGTAATATCAAAGTATACATTATCTATACAGAGGTTTAAATGAAAGAGAATTTAGTTTGAATTTACCTAGATATCATAACTTTTCTGTCAGAATAACTGCCTTAAAATTATCTTGGGAACATTTATTAGAATATATTGTTGTAGAAGAGTTTCCGTTTAAGTGACTTATCTTAATCTACCATGATTATAGTCTCACTGCACTAAGTATGACAAAATATAAATATTTAAATGATCGATTGAACTTACATGAACAATATTGAATCCCTTTGCCCGAAGCGCTTGAGCTTCCTAAATTAATAGAAATTAAAGAAAATGTAATTAATGCATAAAACTGTACTGTACTCAGCTGATATTATGAACTGAATCTAAGACCTTCGACCTTGCACTCGAACAATCCATCTCTAGATCAATAAACCAGCATCCAGTGGTGCCATTATTTAACTTCAATCAATCCACGATATTGCGTAACTGCCTCCCATTGACTTCGGTGGGTTAGTGCCTCACAACTTACACGGTTAGGTTCTACTGGCCACAGCTTCTCACTAGAGCTCCGGAAATTTCCTTTCGAATCTAGTCACTAGTAAGCACGTGATAATTTTCAGTACAAGGTTGTAGAGATCGCTAAATCTTGTTGAAATTATGAACCGACCAATGTTACACCACCAGTCAAAACCTGTAATGCTATTGGCGATTTAATTTGGAGTCTTCCCAGTTCCACAAGATTATTAGGTGGTTTCTTTGTGCACCTAATCCGAGTAAATATCATGGGTTGGCACTGTAGTTTTACCATGCCGTCATAGTACAATAGAAGAACTCCAATGAGTTTTAAAACAACACAGAATTAAAGCATATTACAAAACGACAAACACCCTTCGAAATGCTTTAGTTCATATGAAGGGAAAAAATCCCGTTTATATCAACACAGAATTGTGTTTACAAATTAGAATGTGCTGATCGTGATGCCTTTTATATCGGAGTGTTATCTCGTGAAATCTCAACTCGAGTAAAAAAACATCTTAGGTACACAAAGAAACCGCCTAATAGACCGATGAAACTGGAGAGATTCCAAATGAAATCGCCGATAGCAGTCCATGCCATTTTCTACAACTATCAAGGCGATACTGAAAATATAAAAGTAATTTAAAATGACTTTTCTAACTATAAAGAAATGCGAGTAACTGAAGCTTTCTATATACTGTCTAATTCATCCATTTGACTTCGATAATCTATCTGAATTACCATGTCTGTTTCTATTTACATCTCACATCATCATCGTACATACAAATTATACTCTATCCTTTTGCACCACAAATATCACATTTTTTATCCTTTAACACACAGTCCTACACACAAATACTCAAACATGCTTCACATAAGTCAACATGACCTGAATGACATGACATGACTTGATTAGAACTGTTCCTGATTGATCACACTAAATATTCCTGCTTTATTTCTTTGAACAATTTAAACTTGAGTTGATTTAATTCGTTCATTTATTTTTTGAAGAAGTGCCTTACACTGAGTGACGAAACGTCAGAAAATTTAAAAATTTAATTTTATTATTCATTGGGATATTGCAAATATATTACTTTTATTGGTAAAACTCAATATTTGATTAGCCTTCATTACGTATTCTAGTTACACACATTCTAGTAGTATTACTTAATCATCTTAAAGATTGATCTCAAAAATCACTAATTTCTATTGACGGTTAAGCTTAAATGCAAGATACTGTATCATCATATAAAGTTTTGTTGACTGCCCACCATTATAAACATAATAAATTGAATTACAACTAGAGACTAATGAAGACTATCGATAACAAATATTTTCACTAATGTAGGTCAAATGATTACAAGAAACACCGGAAATATCTTTATGATCTTTTGTAGTAATCAACATTATATAAATTTGAATTAGAAAAGTTCATTAACACTTGTGTCAATCAAATAGTTTCAGATGTGGCGGCAGATAAATCTTAGTATTTGACATTCAAATATGATTCTTCCATAACTCTACATATCAAATGGGAAACTTATTTAATTATAAACTTGAAATATTTTTTTCATTAGCCAGAGTTCTTGTAAATCATCCCGTTTTTGATATTTAAGATTGCAACTGATCAGTCTTTTTTTTGGCAAATATGTACATTCTGTGCGGATCGCCTCGATTTTAACACTGCTATGGTGTAGATATTAAACCTTAGTCCTCGTAGACTGAACTGTTAAGTCCCAAATGGAACGAAATGTTCATACTGGATTTCACTACCGAACTATGCTTAATTTGACAATGACAATGTCAGGGCAAACTGCACAAGATGCACTTTTGGTATAAGGCATCTGATCAATTACATCCTTTGAAATTATCAACGGGAAGATTCAAATGATCCTTACAATTGAATTAAAGTATGTCGGTGTTACACAAGCCAGTAGATATTTGGACTCAGTAATTAAATGTAAAATGCTCAATGCGTTTTACATAAAAGTTACTGGGTTCGAGCTCGTATGGATATCAACACGAATGCAGATATATCCAGCTGACATGTCCTAGAAAGCACGGAACACGTGTTCTGGATTGCACCACGAGCCACTTTCCAACTCTGCTTCTAAATGTTTATATCTCCAATGGATGGCAAATAATTTGTTACACTTCATTCTGAACTTTTGCAAACAACCAAAATGAAATGATTTACCTTAGGTTGTTGATACCACATTTATATAACATAAATCGTGTTAAACTATCGTAAGACTCAGATTTTTCTAACCTCAACTCACTTATGTGTCCATTTTTGGATCAATGAACTAAAGATTTTGTTCCATTCAAATGATTATCAATTATTTGTTAAAAGCTATTATATACTAACTTGTAACCAAATAGTATGATTCGAAATTTCCAATATATCACTGAGTTGTTTTATTAATCAGTATGAAAAACCATCAGTTATTGTGACATGTAATTTATAATACAATTAGGTGAACAAATGATCAAAGAACTTACTTAATGTACTGTTACCTACACATTGAAAAATAAGATAATAATCGCTTAGATACTAATATTAATATATAATCATTGAAAACAACATTCAGACTGTATGTGAAGTGTTATCAAACAATTTATAGTATTCGTTTAATTCAGTGAAATATTATATCCCATATCTATCTGCATAGAATATTCCAAGCAAAGTGATAAACTGATTATTCATTATCGGAAAGGGGTCTCCAGTAATCTATCATTTATTTTGTCAGTTAAAATAATTTAGAATACTTATTATGTTAATGAATAATTAAAGTTATACCACCATGGAGAGCCTGGAAGCATTGGAATGCCGTTTCATCGTAGTGTGGGACTCCTCGGCAGTACGCATACACAATCCCAGTCGCGGGATTGGAACACAAGACCAGTAGAATTCAATCGGGTCTGTTGTGAGATAGTAACCCCCTGAAGACAGTGCTGGACGGTGGCTCGATTTCGTGGATTGGTGGAAGTTAGACATTAACACCGATGGGTGCCAACTCGGTGTTCTGGAAGTTAAGCGTTCGCTTGCGAGACCGATGGGTCCTGAGTTTGGATCCCGCGAGGGGGTCGCGGATGTGCACTGCTGAGGAGTCCCGCGCTACGACGAAACGGGCGCCCAGTGATTCGAGGCTCCCCATGGAGGTGTAGCTTTAATTATTCATTAACATAATAACATAGTAAGTATTCTAAATTCTTTTAACTGACAAAATAAATGATAGATTACCAAAAATACGATAGATAAAGTACTTCTGTTGACAGATTCACTAATATACTATGCTAAGTTATAAAATATTAATTCAACAATGTCCAGTAATTCACTAGCCTACATCTATCATTGGTGAAATTTACTTCTAAATAGATTATTTGTTTATTTGCATACCTTTTAACAAGATATACCTTCCAGGAAAAGTATTTCTTCATTATAAGCAAAAATAGAGAGTAGCTAGAAGTGGAATCCAGTTGCATGTACCTGCATCTCAGAGTTGATGTTCACTCTTGGACTCGAACCCGGTACCATTCACTCCAAACGCCATCACGTTATCCACTTAGCTACTGAGTCTTTATAGCCACTTGCTTGTGCAAAGTGAATATATTTCTTTATTACTCTAACATGACCATACTAACTCCAATGTTTTATTTGACTAAAGAATTTATATTATTTATTTAATCTATGTTTCAATCAATTTCACCTTCGAAACATTGTAATATAGTAATAATTATATTCAGAATTGATCATTGGGCAGAAATTCATCAGTGTAAAGAACTGAAAAGGTTATTGCAATAAAAATCATAAATATATGGATCAAAATATACAGTTTAACTTACAGTCATCATCTGTAAAATGATTACATTAAAAACAAAATAGTTTAATTTAGATACAGAAAACTGTCATGGTAACATATAAGGCATAACTTTAAAACAATCGACTTGATGTTTTTGATTGGGATCATGGATCCATTGATATAAGACCACCATTGTAAACCTAGAATTACTGGACGGCCATTCGGTCCTACTATGGGACTCCTCAGCAGTGAGCATACTGTAGATAATTTCAAATGGTGGTTATAGCAATTATAAATCATAAGATTTAAAGTACTAGGTCTGTGGTGTGTGTTACTAATGGTGCAGATATAAGTAATATATATTATCAATCGAAAGTGAAATATTCGATGGCAGAAGTTTAAGAGGATCGAAGGAAAGAGAATGAGAACAGAGAATGATTGGTGTGGAATAGAGAGAACAATCAAATTTGAGACAGTTGATTGACATTTTGCAAGTGAATTATTTACTGTATGATTATCGTTTGAAGCGAACGTTACTAGGTTCGAGTCCAAGAGTGAACAACAACTCGGATGCAGATAAATCCAGATGACGAGTCACAAATAGGACGAAACGCGCGGCAAACTGGATTTCATCTTTGCTTATAATATTTGTGACTCAAGGTAATATCGGGCCATTCCGAACAGTATGCACCTATACCAATAAGAGACTGACCAACGGCATTCTTGAACATCAATGGGAAGATTCAAGTAAACAATACCAAGTGAATTTATTCCGTAAGTTTGTATTAAAATACATTTGATCATCCCCATCTTAGTTCTCGTTCACCAACAGTGGAATGGTATAACAGATTTACATGTGAATGAGATGAAGTAAACTTAGAAAAATGCGAATCTATTAATTAATGCATTCAAATATGATACAGTATACGTAATAATAAACTGTATATCTATTTTGGTTGAAATTAAAGTATATTAAACAAAAAAAGAAAACGAGCAGTGTGTAAAGATTAGTCCAACCAATAAAGACATTAAATCCTATCTTTCCAATGTATAGAATTATTCATTACATCAATGCCTGTGAACGTTTATATAACGAAAAGTCTTACATAAGTTGTAAAATCGAATAAACAGTTAATAGATAATGATGTATATCAATAGTAAATTTAGTGTTTTTATCTTCATAGCTTGTAAACTTAAGCTGAATAATGATTAACAAGATGTACCAAATTACATTGATTTCATCTTATTCTAGAAATCATATTATTATTGACTTGATAGTGTGTACTATGAAAATCTATTAACTCCTCCTGGAGCCCCTCCGGGGGCTACTGCCGGCCCCAAGCCCGGATAAAGAGGGAGGGTTGGGGATGGTGTTAGCGACCTCACTCCATAGAAAACTAACTCGCTAAAACAAAGCCAACCAGAAAAAAAATATTCGAACCATTTAAACTCTGCCCTGGGAATCAGAAGGTCTTCAGTTAGAAGAATTATGGTGCCTCGTGATGAAAGCCGAGTTCCTTCGGAAGTCACGAGACCGATACCCCTTCTGACAACCAGAGCAACCATTTAGTTAGGTACATGGAATGCTCGTACAGTGTGATAGACCGGGAGAGTCTTCCAAACTGCTGCAGCATGAAGATCTATTAAGTAATGAAACACTAGTGTTCTAGTTTATAATGTAGTAAGTAAACATTACAAAATAGTAATAAACACTATGTATGTATATATCTATATATGTATGAACTTACTTTCATCTATGAAATAAAGCAGATCAAAGCAAGAAATCAGAAACCGATTCAAATTAATATACTAAATATCTTTTATTTAACTGAAATTATATACTTTGTGAAGTAATCATTATTCCGTTATTCTAGAATTATATATTTTTAGAGTTTAATTCCAAATAGTTGGTTATGATTATGATTTTTTTTCATTTTTTTAAAATACTACTGAAAACTTATAGAATTAACAAGCATATATCAAAAATCTGTTTTAAGCATCAGAATGGGGTATTTGTGTGTGTGTGTGGATGTCATAGTACTTTTAATAGTTGAGATCATGAGTCAATTGAAGCTAAACGAAACGATCGTCCAATGTTTCCAGTTTTTTTCCATGATGATCTAGTTTCAATTGACTCATGATTTCAACAATTAAAATCTGTTATTATTATTATTATGAATACTATGAATTTTATACTTATCTAATTGAAAAGAGAAAACTATAAACAAGCACTCTTTCATGTAATCGATTTGAACATAGCTCCTTTCCCACAATCAGAATCATCATAATTAATGAATAATTGAATAATGTACATGGTAGGCAATAAGATACACTTGGAATTTATCATAATATAGACTATATTTTGGTGATTTAGGACGAAAGAATCATTTTTAGAAAATTTTCACTAAATGAAGAAAACATATGGTACATAAAATAAAGCTCTTTCAACTACCGTAAAAATAATTACCGAAATATAATCACATATTATTCAAGTAACATATTTCTATTTCCTAAACAACACCGTAATCTAATAGTTGAATTCATGAGTCGATGTAAACTAGACCATCATTGAAAACCTGGAAGCACTGAAAGGCCATTCCGTTTTAGTATGGGACTCCTCAGCAGTGCGCAAACACGATTCCTCAAGCAGCGTTGGAATATAGGACCTTCGGACTCACGCATGAAGGTTTAATCTATAGACCACCGAACCGGCATCCAATAGTGTTAATGTCCAAATTACATCCGTCCATGAATCGCTGAGCAACAATTCATCCGTTGTCTGAGGTAGATACCTGACTCTACCCGACACGGACTGGAATCCATTGGTCACAACTTCTCACAAGAACCCTAGAAAATCCATCTCGAAGCAAGTGACTAATGAGTACTGTATTCAATTTCAATCGTATTCTACATCAGTTAGTCACAACAACGTCATACATTCAGCTCATTATACTTCGTGGAATCACAATACTTAAAAAACGATTGACTCATGCTCAATCCGTTCAACATTCTCATGATTAATTCTGTTTACAATACACACATTATGTGTCAATCGTGAACAATTTCAACAAATCTAACTAACAAATATGTATTGATGATGTCGCTAATGACAGTCAATTTGTATATAATCACAATGATTGACATACTGAAATGTAACATATAAAATTGGAATGCATAGAAATGCATGCTGAGTGAAAACATCAATTTCCAATTTATGGTATTCATTTCAAGTGTGAAATTTGTTTCTATCTGTTCGATGTGATGATCTGGCTGACATATGACAGATCAGGTGAATGAAATTACACCACCTTCATCTTACTCCACAAATTGCATTCCATTCACATTGATAGGAAGTGCACATAAACTCGATCAATTGTATACATGATCACTTTCCATTGTGCAGTGCCCACACGCACACACATTGTTTCCTTCATACTACTCATTACAACACATATAGGTATATATTTTTTGGTATATAACAGACAAAATGAACTTACTTCCATCTGTGAAAAACAAATCGAAACAAGAAATCACATCAGATATTTGAGTAGTTGTACAAATATTATTTATTTATATGATGTGATTGAGGTCAATTATAAACATGGATTTCACTCTTATCACCAAATTTGAATGATTTCATTCTCACACTAGAACACAATTCCAAATGTACAGTCACTTATCATCACCATTATCATCATATGAATGTTTAATGGGATTCGAATGACATTGTCAGTCGATGTGAATTTCTGTGACCTATCATCACTTGTCATCTGACAAATGAGCTGTTCGTCAACCACTACACAATCAGCAACATATTGAGGTTTCATCAATCAACACAACCTTTGTTATTTCGTTCACAACTATCTATTCTTAAAAGTATTCAAATACTCGTCAATAAAGTCATTCTGTTTACACATGAATCTGAAACGTGAATTATCTGGTGCACCTTAATTACAACAACCAGTGACCAACAGTACACGATGTGTTTGATTAGAAATATGTGCAATTCACATAGTTCATCTACCATCTGACTACCGAGAGTGTGCAATGTCACAATAATAAACACTAGTGCAATTGAAATGTATGATGCATGTCGAAACTTCACTTAGTTAAACATTTTGTAAATTTGTGAAGTTTAACTAGCAATTGAGTGGTTCTAAATGTATTAGAAAGTTTATAACAAGAATTTGTGTAATATTGTGATGATTTTGAACGTACGTTGTTCGTCTTCTAAATTGGGATTAAATCGTATATTTAAATGATATTAGGTTAGTGATGATTGTGATTAGACTAAATTAGTGTTTATTATTTGAGCTTTTTAAACCTTGATTAGGCCTTGAGGTTAATATCATGTTTCCTCAGGTTCGTCATATGAATAATCTTTTTGATGTAACAATTTAGTTCGTATATCGTAACTAATTTAATTTCATAAATGACTGATCCTTGGGTGGTGACCAATGTCATGCGTGTCAAGTCCTTCGTAGTGCAGACCGAATGCTATCGACCAAGTTGAAACATGGTCACTAGTCTAGGTTACTCGACATTGCGCGCATCATGTTGAGATAGGTTTTTGGATGGAGGTAGTCAACAGGAGACTCTGGCCCCCGGTTTCGTGCTATTTGGTACTCGTCAACAATGTGTGCCTGTAATCTTGAGGAAACCTGTGCTCTCTGATGGACCCGATCCCATATCACCTAGCTTCACGGTCAGAGACGTTACAACTGAGCTATCCGGGCCGTGACCGACCTCCTGTAGGACTGAAATGATTGGTCACTGGGTGGTGATCAATTTCATGTTTGTAAAGTCCTTCCTAATGTAAACTTTTCCATTAATTTCATTTTAATGGTAAATGGTGCGGATAGCCCAGTTGTAACGTCTCTGACTGTGAAGCTAGGTGATATGGGATCGGATCAGTCAGAGAGTTCAGGTTTTCTCAAGATTACAGGCCACCTTGCTGACGAGTACCAAATAGCATGAAACTCGTGTCCAGATTTTCCTGTTGACTACCTCCAACTGCCATGCTATCTAATTTGATTTCATATAATTTCTATCAAACGTTTTTATGAGTAGCCGTCAAAAGTCAATTCTTGTTTCATCCTACATATTTGTGTAATTAAGAGTATAGTAAAATGACATCCGTGATGTAATCCGCGACTTAAGCTGAACAAAAACCGCCTGTGGAAGTACAGTGACACTGATCCTGTTAAAAGATGATAATGTTTGATGGATATACCGTACATCAGTTTTATAGTGTCGCTAGTCACTTTACTTATAAAATGCCTATGACTTAATGGTGATCTGTATGGCAATATGTATAGGATCAATGGAAAAATTAAAAACTCCAATACTACTGAATTAAAACCATAATATTTTATTCCTTTTTAGAACAAATAGAAGAATATTTGAAAGTGTTTACTAGTTGTTCAAATATTCATTAGTTGAAATTTTTGTTAATTTTCAAAATGAATAAACTATGTTGCCTGATTTTTCCAATGATCAAAATCATCAGTATTTACATTGTTTATGTAGTGAACGAGAACATAAGTGAGGACAATCAAATGTATTTGAACACAACATTACAGAATCTCTTAGTAAAATCTAAGAACCATACAGCAAATACATCATTTACAAAACATCACTTAATCGTATCAAACTTGATTGTTACTTCGTCTCCAAATCAATCATTCTCTGTTGTCATTCTCTTTCCTTCGATCCTCTTAACATTCTGCCATCAGATATTTCACTTCCCATTGATAATATATACTACTTATATCTGTCGACATCAGTAGCACACACCACTTATGTAATCAACAAAACTGAATTATAGATACTAATTCAAAATTACTACTAATAGTCATGCTTTAATTTTGAACATTGTTCTATACTATCAGTTGTTGATCATTAAGTCAAACTGATAATTTTTACAGGGATCAAAGATTCATCATATACACTACATAATGAATATGTTTGTTTGTGAATTGAATATGATGAATGTCTATTGCCTTATTGATGTTTTGATAATTTCATTAATACGACAGAAAATCTAAAAGGCATTAGAACTTACTCATATAACTAGATCCTGAAATTAAAATGAAGGATAATACATGTAAATATTGTTATTGACTAAAGATACTGAACTAGAATAATGAAGATGTATTTTATTCACATGATTCTATATACATATACTTTCGTGACAATAGTTGTCAAACTGAGCTGAATGGTTTTCGACAAGTACCATATCTCAATTGGAGTTCCAGGAAAATGAATGTATGATATATAAGTGCTGATAATCAGTTCATACTAAAATCAGGCTGAGTTATCCCAAAAATTGTGCAACTTTTCACATACAAACAACATTTCCAATGAAACAGACTTACTGCATATGAAGTTTGAAAATATTTACCGTCATATCAATAAATTTTGTTGCTAACGATTTTAGATGATAACGGTAAGTTTTAAAATATTCTGAGCAATTATAACAAAAACGCCTGGAGTCCCCTTGGAGCTACTGCCTGTCCTAAGCCCGGACAAAAAGGAGGGTTGGGCATGGGGTTAGCAACTTCATCCCGTAGAAAAATAACTCACTAAATAAAGCTAACCAAAGTAATTGTAACAAAAGCTGCTGACAAATCATTCCTTACGTATCTAAATCTTATATCAGGTCTATTAATCATTTTTCCCTGTAAGTAAAGATTTTGAAGTTTTCTTACTCTTCCGTGTCCGATCAATTTTTTACTTCAGGGTATGTTTCTAACGTTTCATTATATTTTCTTGAATTTTCTTTTAGTCAGTACTGCCGATTTCTAAGTTATATTATTCTCCTATGTTTATATGTTATTAGAATAATACTGACCGATGATTCTTTCCACAAGGGACTAGGATGTGAAATTTGTAATAAACTTATTGTAAACGATTGTAACTTCATCATTATTGAATAGGAAACTATCCATTTACTGTAAGCATTGGAAAATACTACCGATTTTGATTTAGTGATTGACGCTTCTGGTATTACTGATAAAAATGTAATGATTGAACTATTTAAGATCTTGTAGATGTATGATGCTAAATAAACCGTTTTTATGAAGAGATCTGATGGCTTTAGAAAAATTTAGCTCGAGGAACTTAACACTACTGAAAGCATTATCCTGAGCTACAAATTTATGAAGATCTGATTTCATCAATTTTATTGTTACACCAAAAGCGATTCAACACGAAATTGCAAAAAGATGTCACAACTAAACTAAAAGACACGTTTGCCTAGGAAGACTGAATCGTACGAGTAGATATAATTTCTTGAGAATGAACAATCATAAAGTGTTATACAGTTTCTTGGAGTCTATAGCCTTCACTAATAATAGAAAGATTTGATAAACTAATTTACAAATGCAAACAATTGTTAGGCTTTGAAGCGTATCTAACAAAATCATTTGAACTGATTATATATGGTGACATAACTATTTCACATATCGGTAGTATTAATGTAAAGACATGGAATTAAACTTTGGCAAAATTCTTCTTGTACTATAACAAATTTGTATTTATTACTCCGAAAATGAAGGAATTTAAGCTGAAACCAATTGGGTATCGGACAAAGTCTTTATAATTTTAGTACACTGAAAATGTTCGCCAATAGGATTTGTTGCATAAGTGACGATCATTTGTGTTGTAATTTATTCATTGTATCGTATAATTCACCATACCAACGACAAAATGTTCACGATAGGCTACATAACAATTAGGAAATAAGCAAAGATGGATAGTGGATGGCAGTAGAATAAGTGACACGTGTTTCGTCCTATTTGGGACTCCTCACCCCCATTGCACAAGCAAGTGGCTATAAAGGCTCAGTAGCTAAGTGGATAATGTGATGGCGTTTGAACCGAATGGTACTAGGTTCGAGTCCAAGAGGGAACATCAACTCCGAGATACAGGTACATCCAGCTGGCGAGTTCCAAATGGGACGAAACGCGCGAACTGGATTCCACTTCTAGAAACTATCCATCTTTGTTCAGAATACTTGTGAATTAAGGCAATATCGAGCAATATGCACAGTATGCAAATATACCAATAACAGATTGATCAATTGCATTCTTGTACATCAATGAAACGATTCAAGTTAACAAAACCAAGTGAATTTAAATAGCAAATACTTTACAAATATTTTAAAAAACCAACAGAACAATTGAACTTACTTCCATCTGTAGCAAAACAAACGAATGAAACAAAGACCTCATGATTATTTATGGGATTAGGATTTTATACAAATTCATTTAATTCATTCTATTTTCAGAATGAGTTTATGGAGATTATTAGGTTTTTGATTGAGATCATGAATTGATTGGTGTTAGACTGTGGATACTCACTGATGAGTAGTCCCATAATAGGATGAAACGGCCATCCAGTACTTTCAAGTTCTCAATGGTGGTCTAACATCAATCGGTTCATGATCTCAATCATTATATCTTATTGAATTGTTATACTTTTAAAGCTTTTACAATTTATAATTCGAGGGAATGATAATTCAGTTATAAACTTTTATTATGCATAATTTCTTATTCCAGAAAATAAATAATTTAATGTACAATCGCTTTTAACATTGATACAGTTTCAAGTGCGCTACGAATCTCAGTCTAGTTTCCTGATAAAATATTAAAATACTACTGATTATGTGTTTTCTTTAAGAATCATTATTTGCTTTTACAGAATGAAGAAACTTCTTATATCTAAGTACTATGATAAATAGTAACGATAATACACTATTATGCATGCAAACCCCACTCTGATCATAATCATTATGTGCTCATTAGTGACTGGTTCCAAGATCATTCAATGGAGTTCTAGTGAGAAGTCGTGACTAGTGGAGTCTAACCCGTTTCGGGTAGAGACAGTTATCTACCTAAGACAATGGATGAATGATTGTACAAAATCATGGATCGATGGAAGTTAGACGTTAACACTGCTGGATGCCGTCTCAGTGGTCTAGAGTTTAAGTGTTCGCACTCAACGCTGATAGATCCTGGGTTTGAATCCTGCGAGATGGGGTTGTGAATGCACACTGTTGGAGAGTTCAATACTAGAACGTAGTGGGCATGCATAAAACATGTAAGCAATCTAATTTTCAACACAGCAAATATTTAAAACTGCTAAAATTAATTTGAATTCAAGATAATGAAAATGTTAATAAGATGAGGATGATAATGACTCTTAAAATTCCAACATACATTGATCATTTTCTGAATAGGAGAAAAAATCAGTTACATAGAGTTACATTGAACTAACAGGAAACAACGTTTATAAATTAAAGTTCAACTTTATGGATAACAAGTAATTCACATTTATATAGTCAGCCTAAAAGATAGATGATAGTAACTCCAATATTAATGTATGGTTAAAATGAAAGTTTTGTTTATTTAACACTAAATATCTCTCATGTCTGAAAGAATAATAACTTCCAGATCTTCATTGGTTATTTTACTAACATTTAACTAATCTATGTAACAGGGACCATTTCAGTAGGATATTAAACTACATTTAGTTCACTTTAAATTGGAATCGAATCAGTATACGATACTACTAATCAGTAGTTAATAAATGAAGCCTTTATATGCTATGTTTAAATGCTATGTTATTGTTTATTCACTTTGTAATTGACAACATTGTACTTTTGTGTCTTATGGTAACTATCACCACTATAATAAATAACAAACCACTTGAACTTACTTATATAACTAGCTCCTGAAATTCAAATAAGATAAATTAAACGTATTATATCATATTCTATAACTATTGAATATCAATTAAATTATAATGTACTAATTAACAGATAGAATATTTCAGTGCTTGGGATCACGAGTCAATTGAAGGTAGATCACCGTAGTAAACCTGGAGGCACTGGATGGTTGTTTTGCCCTATTGTGGGATTCCTCAGCAGTGTGCGTCCACGATATAATATTCCAATTATATCCTTCTTAATTAAACAAATAACGTCTAACTTTCATAACAATATCTAATTCCTTTTTAAGAGAATAGTTAAAATTCATCACATTACCTGGACTGAGACATTTTTGATCAAAACAAGGTAAATAATCTACCTTCATATCGTATGAAATCATTACGTGTACTCAGTTATACTTCAGGGTCTCTGATAAAAACCCAAACAGAATGATACATCAGATAAACTGTTTGTCTTGTAATTACTTTCTATGTAACGATATGCGTATATCGTTCTATGTCATGTTTATACTGACTAACAATCTATCGAAAAATATTATGAATAATGGTAGTGATGATTTGTATATTTTACAAAACATAAACATTTTTGGAACAATGGTGAATTTTTATTAGTCAAGTGTTAATGAGTTTGTAGTTTCAGTGGGTAGAAATAAAGTGTAGTAATGAATTTAGAAGACGTTTAGGAAGAGACTGAAATCTTGATGTGTGGTGAAGAATCGTCGTCGTCTAAATCACCAACAGATCTTAAATAGCTTACTAATTACAACCACTAATCATTGAACAGTATAGAACTCCTTAGAAGTGCCCATTCAAGAATCTTAATAACTAAACAGACGAATGAAATAACACAATTTTCATAGTATTCGATGGAGTACTTCTCCGTACATTGAGAAAAAGTATTAATTTGCGTTTTATTCAACAAGTACCTATTCATTTCCTAAACAATGATGTATTCATCTTCAATCAGATTCTACATCAGTTAGTCACAACAATGTCATACATTTAGCTAATCACGTTTTGTGGAATCACGATGCTAAAAAATACGATTGGCTCATGCTCAATCCATTCAACATTCTCATGATTAATTCTGTTTACAATACACACATTATGTGTCAATCGTGAACAATTTCAACAAATCTAACTAACAAATATGTATTGATGGCATCGTTAATGACAGTCAATCTGTGTATAATCACAATGATTGACATACTGAAATGTAACATATAAAATTGGAATGCATGGAAATGCATGCTGAGTGAAAACATCAATTTCCAATTTATGGTATTCATTTCAAGTGTGAAATTTGTTTCCATCTGTTCGATATGATGATCTGGCTGACATATGACAGATCAGGTGAATGGAATTACACCACCTTCATCTTACTCCACAAATTGCATTCCATTCACATTGAGGAGAAGTGCACATCAACTCGATCAATTGTATACGTGATCACTTTCCATTGTGCAGTGCACACACGCACACACATTGTTTCCTCCATACTACTCATCACAACACATATAGGTATATATTAGTACGTATATAACAGACAAAATGAACTTACTTCCATCTGTGAAAAACAAATCGAAACAAGAAATCACATCAGATATTTGAGTAGTTGTACAGCTATTATTTATTTGTATGATGTGATTGAGATTGGTGTAAATTATGTATTTTTCGTCAATTATAAACATGAATTTCACTCTTATCACCAAATTTGAATGGTTTCATTCTCACACTAGAACACAATTCCAAATGTACAGTCACTTATCATCACCATTATCATCATATGAATGTTTAATGGGATTCGAATGACATTGTCAGTCGATGTGAATTTCTGTGACCTATCATCACTTGTCATCTGACAAATGAGTTGTTCGTCAACCACTACACAATCAGCAACACATTGAGGTTTCATCAATCAACATAACCTTTGTTATTTCATTCATAACCATCTCTTCCTCAAAGTATGCAAATACTCCTCAATAAAGTCATTCTGTTTTCACATGAATCTGAAACGTGAATTATCTGGTGCACCTTAATTACAACAACCAGTGACCAACAGTACACGATGTGTTTGATTAGTAATATGTGCAATTCACATAGTTCATCTACTATCTGACTACCAACAGTGTGCAATGTCACAATAATAAACACTAGTGCAATTGAAATGTATGATATATATGTCGAAACTTCACTTAGTTAAATATTTGTAAATTTGTGAATTTTGACTAGTAGTTGAGTGGTTCTGAATGTATTAGAAAGTTTATAACAAGAATATGTGTAATATTGTGATGATTTTGAACGTACGTTGTTCGTCTTCTAAATTGGGATTAAATCGAATATTTAAATGATATTAGGATAGTGATGATTGTGATTCGACTAAATTAGTGTTTATGATTTATTCTGTTGTAATAATGCTAGTATTCGCACTTACGTGAATGGTTGTCATTCGAACCTCTAGTATTTACAGTGCCTAGAACATCACAAAGCAATCAAAGCCTTGATGCGACTTGTATTAACGTTACTTTTCTTCATGTTCATCCTAATCAGTAGCTTTCAACTGTGGTAATACTTCATTGTATTAACCCTTTTACCTACAGTACTTTAGATTTTACTAAAATGACATCCATTATTTATTGCATAACTTAAATTGCTTAAGAGCCACTCGTGTATGTGCCAATGACTTTCAGAAACATATCGGTGTACTGTTAAAGAGCTCCCCCAACAAAATATCTCTCCCGGTAAGATCATAAATCAACTTATTTCCCAATATCCATCCTTTAAAATTCTTTCACCATTTACAGATATAATTTGTGATATCTGTGATTAATAAGCATATTATTAGAAATTAATAATATTGACTCAGAATTACTGTGGGGTTATATTTGTGGTTTGTAGGAGACTTTCAAATCCAACTACATCTCTTCAAACTTCAGTCTAAACAGTCAGCCAATAGATAAAAAACTTTAACAGACAATTCTACACCTTGTGTTGTTTTATCTATCAATATATGGTCATGGAAATTGTTGAGTTTTGGGTAAGATCATGAATGAATCAATGTTTGACTACCATTGAAAACCTAGAAGTACTGGATGACCATTTCATCCTAGTATAGGATTTGCCAACAGTGTGCATCTATGATCCCATAGTTGGGATTCGAATTCAGGTTCAACTTAGTATTATTTACTGTAATGCCTGATAAATGCTTAGTTTTACTTGTGGTATCTTTTTTTTAATTAATGTATAAATAGAAATTTTAAAATATTGTAGCTTACTTAGATAGTTTGCTCCTGAAACAGAAAAAAAAGTTATTGTATAGTAACATTATCATACTTTAACTAGTTAAATGATATGAAGTTAAACCTTTCTATGAATAGTACATCTATGCGAAACACCAACTAATTGTGTGCATTTAAATTAACCGTGTATTATTCGATGGTTTCTTCAGTAAGAATAATCAAATATTACACTTATTGAATATAAATAGTATAGTTTTTATTCAACGTATGGTTTGTAATAGTTTCCCTCTCTTACACGTATTATACGATGATATGTTAATAAGTTAATGTGACTAATCACTCTATATCAGAATCAAGATTCGCGACGCAAAATAGAGAACCAGATTAACACTAAAGAATACTTTATTTAATACAGTGAGTCCAGGGTAGAAATCAACGATACGAAGTAAAATCACATATTTAATAGTTCGTAAACTGTTGTTGTTTCTTCACTCTCAACGACTAACCATACTTTACATTCAGAATCACACATCAGGTTTATAAATTAACTATGTACTAAACAAATAGATGAATAGTGTTAATTCAATGCTGAATGTGAAACATGTCGTTAGTGTGTGTATAAGTGTGAATTGTAGAAAAAATTATAATAAGATAAAAACTTTGATAATATAAGCGTGTTCAGTCATTTATCTTCTCATAGATCTTGAGTTTTAGTATTCCTTCATATCGATAATTTCATTTCATCCTTTTAAACCATGTCCTCAACCTGTAATCAATCTTATTGTTGCTACATTACTTCAACTACATCGCTATTCATTTTGTTGATTTGACCCTGTCTTACTAATGTGACATTATAGTGTGTGCTACTGATGTCGTCAGACATAAATGGTATATGTCATCAATCGAAGATGGAATGTCTGGAGGTAGAAGGTTGAGAAAATCAATGAGAAGAGAATGAGATCAAAGAGTGATTAGTATGAAATCGAAGGAACAATAAAATCTTAAACATTTGATGGATATTTTGCAACTGAAGTATTTACAGTATGGTTGCCAGATTTATCAGGATATTCTGTAATGTATCAAAATGTATTTAGCTGTCCCAGCCCGTGTTCTTGTTCACTACACCATATCTTAAGGTCATAAATGGTTAGCAATTTTTCCTAACATTTGATCAACATAATATATACATACAGTTGCTATCTTAATACAATTTCTTCTACAATTCACACTTATACAAACACTAACAAAATGTTTCACATTCGGCATTGAATTAATACTATTCAACTATTTGTTTAGTACACAATTCATTTGTAAACCATAATATTTATATTCAATAATTGTAATATTTGATTATTTCCATTGAAGGATATTACGGCGTGCCTCAGAAGATAGTCAATATCATACGAAATTCCTATGATGGATTGAAATGCAAAACTGTGCATGTAGGACAATTGATAGACTCGTTCGAGGTAAAGACTGGTGTCAGGCAATGTTGTTTACTCTCACCAAAGGAGGAGAAGAGGAATACCAAAGAACACATTACGTCGGGAATGGAGATAGACATGAGAAAAATAAACAAAAATTGGATGGAATTAGAAAAGAACGCCTTGGACAGAGTGGGTTGGAGATAGCTGGTCGGCGGCCTATGCTCCATTAGGAGTAACAGGCGTAAGTACGTAAGTAAGTTCATTGAAGGAACTTGAGTCAAACTATCGAGTGAAACATTGAATGTATGTTAATTTTGGTTGTTGATAGTGTTATAAATTAAGTGTTAATTTTAATGGTAGACTAGTGACATTTAAAGTAACAAAATAATCAGTAGTATATATCATCTGACAATTGAATATATATGTTATAAGCCAACCAAATGAACTTACTTCCACCTGTAAAATAAGCAAATCATATGTAATGCAATTAGTAATCAGTGGTTGTTAATTACTAATAAATATTTTTGCATGCATGATATAATTTATAATTTCTAAAAAATAAATATAATATCTATAGTTCAAGTTCTATGTGCGGAATCGTGGATACACAATGCTGATGAGTACCATACTGGGACGAAACAGTTGTCTAGTGCTTCTAGGTTTTCACTGATGGTCTAGCTTAGATGGATTCGTAAATTCAACTTCGAAAACATAAATAATTCATCGTTTTATGAGAATAATCTGTCAAATATTCAGTTTAGGTAAATTATAATCAGTCTGTAAAGTATGTGTATTCATGATTGTTAAGTCTAATTTACGTTCTCTGTCCTTAATCACTTCCCTTAAACTCTTTCGTGCTTCGTTTTATACTACTTATTAATATTCAGTAAATAGTTGTATCGATAGCAATTTTTACGCTTATGTTGTAACACTGTCGTGTAATATCCTGAAATATTTACATATACTAATAACATTTACTATATATACCATTATAATGGCTTTGTCGCAATCATTGTAGAAGTTGTTCACAAGTTGTGTATTTGTTTAACCCTTGTTTAAGCGCAGCGGATTTCATATTGTTCTCTCGTGGTTCGGTTTTTGCTTGTTGATAAACTATTACCAAGTTTAGACAAAGCCAATAACTGTCTTTTGTACTATCATATGTTGTAATAATTCTTTATGTTACTATTACATGAAGCTCTTTTTACTTCAGATAAAAGGACGCTGTAAACTCCGTAAACACCTCACAAGCTGAGGTATTTTATTCAATAAAGAACCGCTATTTTAAACAATTCGTTATTTTGTGAACTTCCATTTTGCTCATATCTCAATTGGGTGAATTGGACAGTTCGATAGACTTACCAATGATAGAGTTTTAAGCAAAATACAATTCTGTTAAATAATTATTATCTGTATAACAGAATTACAATTGGTAAGTAGATAAATATATACAACGTTGAAAATGTTCTGGTTCGTTTTAATTTTATATTAAAATGACAAATTTCATATTCTTAATTTAATATGAAGTCTACTTACTTGAAGAAATACTGCTCTCTCTTTCATATGAGTGTCCATCTATGAAATTATAGGCAAGAAAACAAGACTTTAAATTACTACTACTGATGAATAACTTCACAGAAGGTAATCAAACAACAAATATTTGTAAAATAATACCAGAATACATCCAATGAACACAAGTTCATTGAGCCAGTAACTTTTAACGTCATTTATAATAAAAGCAAGTTCATTGTTGTTGTTGATTTTATGGACTGGAATCAATCAGTTGTTTTTTATTTCTTTGTATCATTAGTAGATTGTCTTGACAGTGTTGTTAAGTTATAAGCATAATTAGGAAAACTTTTAATAGTTATTATATTTAGAGTTCAGGACGTGTGTTTATGCTATTTCAAACACTTCGGGTAGATATATTTGGAATCGGCTTTGATGTTCACACCAGAATGTAAATCCAATGCCTGCCACCTTAAATGCTCAAAGAGGTCCTCACTTAGCTGCTGAATATGTGTTCTAACATTAATGTGAACATTAAATTTAAGGTATAGATACATTTAACTGATGAGTTCGAATTAGGGAAGAGCATACGTCTTGGTTGCTACTGCTAGTCACTCATGAGTCAATAGAGTATAACAGAGAATTCTTCTGATCCCTGTCTTCGTTTTCCGATTGCGTTCGGCGGGAGTTTGAGGACCAATAATAATTAATGTCCTGGTATAGTTTTTCATTGATAGCTATGTCATTCGGTAAATAGGTGGTCATCAGTTCTACAGGTAATATAACCAAGCTAAGTTATGTATGAACTAGACAAAGAATACAATGCTTGACGCAATAACGATCCGATCACACAGGGCACAACAAAGGTCAACTGTTTGTTCTACTTTTCACCATTGCATCACATTTACGTTTAATAAGTGTATTTAATAAAATAAAAAGGTAATGGATGATTTAACAGTGTTGCCGGACACAAGTTAGATCATCAAAACATCATTGTATATTTCATATAGTACAATTATAATGTTAATTATTCATAAACTTACTACACACTGGTGTTGAACTTCTTGTTGGTCTTCTCATTGATGTTCTGATAGACACACGATTAGAACCCGAAAAGTCATCTGTAGAATTGATTAAAATATTTTACATAATTAGATCAATGGATATATATATATATATATATATATATATATATATATATATATATATATATATATATATATATATACATGAACAAATCGGCTAAAAATATACCTGATGGTTTCGCATTCGTAACTGTAAAAGTAAATTAAATGAAGAGAGTATGGAAGTTTGAGTTCAACGATTTGAATATTATCAATTTTAATTCAACATGATACAATATCCTTGAATGTTTTTGTACAAAGTAGCTTTTATGTAGAAGAGAAGTCTTTAGTTGAACATATTACATAAAGCTAACATCTATGCTGTCGATATTTTCGAGAAAAAAATTTACTTCCTATTTATTTTTGTAGCTTAAAGTCAGTTTTCTCGATAAACCTCGATTTCGCTTAGTTATTGTCAAATTTTAGATTTGTTTTATTTACTTATTTATTTGAACACATAAATATTAATACAAAGAGACACCAAATACATGTGCGCCACACAAGTCACTTGATTTGTGTGTGGGCTGTATTACTGCTCGGGTGCCCAGACCGAAGTAAGTGGTTTTCTTAGAGAGTCACACCAGGAGCATTTGACTTTAAGGTCTAATCCACAACGCAGTGGGGCAATATTAGGACATGCAGTCCCATAGTAGCTAGTGACGAACGATTTGTTCATACGCCGTTTGTTCCTTCAGGATCATGGAGCTCATGTTCACCACCAACTCACTTAGGTGCACCCTCCGTGTCCACCAACCCGGTTACAGCGTCGGACATTCATTTTTCGTATTTTCAGTTTCTTGAACGGCAGTAATGCCGAGAGAATGCAGTGAGAAGGACTTCCCTGGTAGAGGCTGTATACGCGTGACCATGTTAGAGCAGGGAAAGAGAGCTGACTCTCCCCACCCTCGGCCGTACTAGAGCATCAGGTTGTATCAATTTTCATAACTCCGCCCTGAGCCCCTATGGGGCTACTACCTGTCTCAAGCCTGGATAAAGGAGGTGGTTTTGGCATGGGGTTAGCGACCCCATCACGTAGAAAACTAACTCCCTATATATGTGTTCATTTGTAAAACTAATTAAAATAAAATATCAGGTTTTATTATCACTGAATTATTTATTCATAATGTGAATTGGTTATTGTAATATAGTTAGTAGTATATATATTCAGTTAAAAAAAACTATGTCAAATACATACCTATTGCTGCAAACAAAACAAAAAATAAAAACAGGTGTGTATCACTTTCCTACTATGTATATATATATATATATATATATATATATATATATATATATATATATATATATTCATTTATTTATAATGTATATAACATAAGTATTTAATTAGAGTCTTCCATTAAGTGATCATGAATAAAGAACTTTTCAGCATAGTATGATAAATGAACGTCTTTTTCAAAGTTACAGTTATGTAATATACCCCTTGTTGGCCAGGGTAATTTTACATTAGTTTCCAGGAGAACCAGACATCATATAGATTTTCACGTAACAACCCAAACATTGCACCCCAGTCCCGTTTTATAGGAGAGCTAGGTTAAACATACAAGTTGTGTTTAAATGTATGAAATTAAACTGACGATATCAGAAGTTTGGTTGTAATGTCTATCCTATGTTCGACATAAATTTAGAATTTTTTTGTGGAATTGGACTGATAATACTATGATCTGTTCAGGAAATCACTTCAATTAAACCTCCATTAAAATATCTTAAATTTATTTGAAAGAGATATTTCATGATAATTTAACTATTATTATCTAGTTTATCAAAGATCATAAGCTATCACTTGTCTGTAAATGCCTTAAATATACGGTAGATATATCATTTGCAAAAATATTAATATTCATAGTTTAGATTGTTGATTCATCACGGAACATAATCAAAAACCTTAGAGTAGCGGACAGATATTTTTTCCTGATGTAAGACTGAATTATCCGTTATGAACATTCAAATCCTCACCAATGAGGACGAACCTGTAGACCACTGAACTGGAATCCAGTGATTTATCTGTCTAACTTTAATCAACTTGTGATATTGTGTAATTATCTGTTATTTGCTGTGATTAACTCTCTCACATTCAACATAGTTTTACTCCACTGATAACTGTTTCACATTAGAACTCTAGGAATTACAACTTAAAGTTAGTGTAGTGTATTATAGTGTATATATAGTGTAGTGTGGATGAATCAGTGGAGAACGGAAAACTTTCAGATGCTGATCCCCAGCAGTGTCACGAATGAGAATACTAGAATGAAACATCTGTCCAATGCTTCTTATTTTTCAAAAGTTATATTTTTCTATCAAATATTTACTGATATGCTATTGCCAGTTCTGTGCAACATTTGTGTTTAGACTGAAGCCTCAAATATACCTATAGCTATTGAACATAGTATTTAACAAATTCAATTTAATATTAAGAGGCTTATCTCTTTCACGAAAAGATATTCTCTAATCACAGTTTTCTGATAAGTGAGGTATAATTGAAAAAATCATAAACAATTAAACTTTCTAATAGTAATAAATCTTCTAATTGGACGCTAGATTGTGTTTCCTAAGCTCTTCTAGTAATACACAGGCTAAACCTACACAGCATTCTGAACATGAGAGAGAAGGTACAAAATATGGAAGAAATGCTTTATTTTGAGGTTCGTTTATGTACAGAAAATCCAGGGTATTTATAGCATTTTAGATGGCTTTGGGCTTCCGGTAAGTTTTGGAACGCTTCTAAACATAGTAGCGTATAGGTAATCACGCAATCAGAAACGCGATATATAACTTTTCACTTTCTAGATGTTTCTAGCAAGACTTCTATCGAATGTTGATTGGATTAGGGGTTTCCGCAGCGTTTTCAAAGCCATTTCTGGACCTCCCAAACAAACGGCTTATCAAACAAATCTGTAATATCAATTCACTAAAAGCAATAGCCTAAAAAAAGCTTTTAGAAAGAAGCAGCTATTCTTGAGAAAAGTAATCAAACAAACTTCTCAAATACAATTTTCTAAAGGAATACAAAACTAAACAATATGATTCATTTTGAGTATTTAAATTCATTATTTTAATTATATGAGAACAGTGTGAAATATTGTTTAATAACCAGTGACCAGTGGAGTACAACCAGGTCGTTTGTGAGATAGTAACTCACTGAAGACAATGGTGGACGGTGGCGTGACTTCGTGGATGGGTTGAAGTTAAATGTTTACAACGTTAGATGCCGGCTCAATGGTCTAGAGGATATGCCTTCACGAGCGAGACTGACAGAACCTGGATTCGAATCCCGCGTGCGGGATATATATATGTATATCGATACACAATAATCAATAATGAAAAGTTTACAATCCAGCGTAATTATCTAAATCATCTAACTTACTTGGACGTTCATCTGAATTCATAAAGTTTAAATTGATCACTGTTGGACTACATAATGAATTGTGTGCATCATCTGTATTCGGTAAACTAGTAGTAGTGACATTTATAGTTTTAGGTCGTAAATCTTCAGAACTTCTTGTATATACAGATTTAAAATGTATATCATCATTATTTGAAAATGAAGTCGGTCTGGAACGTTGAAAGTCTCCACTACGTATTGAACCAGTTCTAGAACGTTCATCTTCGTTTATTATAGAGTGTCCTTCAGGTAAATATGGTGTATGATCCCAGTAACATTTGCATCTTTCTAAATACAGAAAATAATTATATATAAAAATTCAAAATTTAAAAAAGTATAGAAATGAGTAGTCATATTTTATCGTTATGTAGCTTGAGAAGAATGCATAAACTGGCTTGTCTGGAAGCTAGAAAAAACTAGGTTGGCTCGACATTGGACTAGCCACTACAGTTATTATTTTATTTACAATAAACTATTTTTACTTTCGCTCATGTATTACTGAGCAGTGGTTTGTCATATAATATATTCTGATACGTAGAATAATACTCAGAGTATGCATGGAAATCTGTTTGTGGTGTATGCTACTTATGTCGACAAACATAAGTATTATGTACCATAAATCAGCAGTGGAATACATGGCAACAGAAGGCTAAGAAGATCGAATTGAAGAAAGCAGAAAGGTAAATAGAAAGGAATTGAGAATTGGAAAAATCATACAGAATGTAATGGACAGTTGATGGGAGATTTGTAACTGACTGACACTCATTTAATATAGAAGACTAGGAAGAACATTGGTGCAATGATACTTGAGTTCATACAGAAAGACTAGAATGATTTTATACTTTAAATATAACAATCAATAACTTTCAACTATTAACGCAATTTTGATGATAAAATTTCTTAGGATTTTAGTAGTCTAGTGTCTTTGAGGTCCGATTAGGAATCATTTTCACCGTTCTGGTAATCACTCATGTAGAAGTGACCTTGAAAGTTATTCTATGAGTAATAAGTCAATTCGTTCTAGTTAGCTGTCTAGTGGCCTTTGTTGTTTTCATATGTTCTTTTACTCTTCTTCAGTCTCTTTCTGTTAACCACTGATCGTGTGACTAAATAACTTTCTTTTTTTGAGTTTGATCTATATCACTATATCTGTTGATTACCAATTGATCTGAATATTGTCTTCCTTGTAACTTATAGGTATTCTACGAGTTTCTCCGATTCTAAATTTTAACGTATCTCCATTACAATTCATGACTGCTATTGTCCACATTTATTCAAATCATATAATCCCATTATTCATGTATTTCCACATATGCGTGGGTGAAAGAAGATACATAGGATTACAAAAACTTAAATTTTCACAGCAATATAGGGGATTTTCAAATTGTAGATATTCATTTTTATTATACACTTCTAGAAAAAACATGTATGGCTTCCAATTGATGACGAAAACATCCTGATCAGTTATTTTTACAGTCAAATCAAGTGACCAAACTTTGTAAAACCTAAAATATCATACATTATACAGGAGGCTAGTGCATTATATAAAATGTTGAGAATTCATAATTATTCAGGTAGAGCTGTACCGTTTTCGGATAATAACTTGAATTTAAATCGTAAAAGAAAGAGATCAATTGAGGCTTTTCGTCATAGTGACCTGAATTAGATTTTGTAGGAAATCTTGTTCAGGAATATAGTTAATTTTTTTTGCATTAATTTATCATTAACTACGTAGGGATACTGTAGTGAACACGAACACCAGTGAGGACAGTCAAATGTATTCGACACACAATTATAGGACTTGTTAATAAAATACGTAATTTGCAAAATGTTCATCAATTTTCTCATAATGACTCAGACTTGATTGTTTTTGCACTTTCACACAAATCGCATTCTGTTTCCATTCTTTACTGTTCGATCCTCTTGTCTCTCTGTTGCCAGACATTCTGTTCTTGACTAACGTCATATACTACTTATGTCGACATAAGTAGCACACACCACACTACTACCCCTAACTCAGGGTTTGAGAAGTCGGAAAAATGAAAATTTCGCAAATGTGATAGAAATGATCTTGGTGGTCTTGTGATAGTATTCCGACACGAGACAATGGGTTTTAAGCGTTCTTTAAGCTCTAATGCTTCAGGCTTGGCTATTTCATTTACTATCCTACATATGTGTTGTATGCAGTATAAGCTATATGGCTATGTTTAGCTGAAGGTCTCGTATGAGACTGGAGGTTCGCCAATGATATTTTTGGTTGTTTGGCATTGCTTTGGAAAGTTTTTCTGCTTGTTCATGCATAAAATTGGTTTGCTGGTTAACCAACTTCATTCATACTTGTGTTCTCAAGGACCATTGTCATTTGGACATTGTAAGACATGTCTTCATAGCTAACATTAATGAGTTTGACTATGGTGTAAGCGAAATAGGTCAACTTTGGCCTGTTCGTGTTGTGCATAATTGATTCACGCGATCATTGATCGGAATAACTATACATGTGACGTGAATGTGTATATGAGTGGTGCGAATGTTCCACCAGGATGCTTGTTACTTGTGTGGTTGCGCCACAGGATTGAGCTGTACTATTCAAATTGTAGCGTTAAAGCCTTTACGGTGTCTGGTTCTCCTGTGAAGCGGGATCGAGTTGTACTGTTTAAATTGTCACAATAAAGTCTGAATGATGTCTGGTTCTCCTTGAAATCGATGTAAAACTACCCTGGCCCACAAGGGTTTATTATATAGCGATAATAACTTTCATTAACTTTATGCAAGAAAACAAACCTGATAATCCTAGACTTTCTCTAAAAGATCGTCTATGACTTGATCTAGTTGAATTACGATCCAATGAATACATACTTTCTGTGACATTACAAAAACAAAAACAAAACATTCAAATGAAATAGAATCATTATTGATTTCAATGAAATAATAATGAGATTGTTTAGAGAGAAAACTACTATGTATCATTCACAAAAACTACTAAGGTAAATGTCTGAATACATACTGTCTATCAAAACAAAAAAAAAGAAAGTAAAGAACAGTATAGCTGTCAATATAGTCAAAGGAGATTCTGTCCTTGATGATGAACCATCATTCATAATAAGCACTAATTAGTATTCTTAACTATATCACTTAGAATTCTACAATAATGTACAACTGATTGACATCAGTAAATGGATAGAAATAAATGTAAATGTCGTAAATTCTCATCATATTCTGATTGTAAAACTATAGATGTGATTGACAAGATTATGTAACAATGAAAAATACTAACTAATGAATGATTCTTGATAGAAAGAAAAATACCTACAATGTATTAAGAATCTTAATAAATAAAGAGAATAAACTGATTTAGAAAGAAGGTACAATCTTGTTGATGAATCGGTTGTTTATCTAGTTTGAAATTATCTGTCGAAGAGATATTTTTATAGTTGAACTCATGAGCTAGACCATCATGGAAAACCAGGAAGCATTGGATAGCCGTTTTGTCTTAGTATGGGACTCTTCGGCAGTGCACAACCACATTTGTACTCGTGGGATTTGAACCCAGGACCTAGCGGTCTTGCTCTCGAACATTTAAGTTGCAGATCACTGACCTGGCATTCAATGATGTAATGTTTAATTCTTATGTTTATTTATGATCAGAACAATTTTTCTAATTAAATGTGACGATAGTACAAAGTAATTATTTTAATCATATAGAAAAACCACAATATAAATATAACCTTAACTAGATCTCATAATATTCAATAAACTAATGATAAATGTCTTTAAAGAAAATGAAAATAAAGGGGAACCATCTTGATTCTACATTTTGTATTGTTTGTTTAAATTATCCCATTGATATTCACGACTGTTAGTGGTCAGTCCATTACTAGCATATGTGTATCCTGTGCTAATTGCCTCGATATTGACTTCAATCACAAGCATTATAAGCAAAGATAGATGGTGGCCAGTATTGGAATCCAAGAAGCGCGTTTCCTCCTATTTGGGACTTATCAGCTGGATGTACCTACATTCTGGAGTTAATATTTATTCCATGACTCGAACCCAGTACCTTTTACTTCGAACGCCACTTAGCTAATAGGTCCTGAGAAGATACAAACAAACAATACCAAGTGAATTTATACTTCACCTCACTATACAAACTAGTGAATATCTGGACTCAGTAGCTAAGTGGATAACGTCATACTGTTTGAAGCGGCCAGTTCTAAGTTTGAGAAGTGGAGTGAACATCAACTCTAGAATACAAGTACATCCAATTGACAAGTTCAAAATAGGACAAAACACGCTTCTTACATTCTACTTCTATCCACCATTTATCTTTGTTTACCTTGATTCTTGCTTTTAAACAAACTGATAAGGTTAAATCAAGAAAATTAATAAAACTATTTGATATACATATAAATATGTTTAGTATAATAACACAAAATTATAATGTATACAATATGATAATTCAAACTACAATGTTAGTATTTGTCACTTTTCATACAAATCTACGATAGAACAAGATTCATTTAGATGATAATTATCAATTTTATTTTATTACATAATCAATGACAGAATGTTTAGTTTTACACTTATATGATTGAATAGTTCAATTATTTCATTATTCTTGATATGAAACTGATTTAAAGTCATTCCCCTTATCCAATTATTCACAATAACTAACATTTATTGAATTCCATTTTTATATAAATCAATTAAAGTGTATTATTAATTTTTTTTGAAGTACGGAGCTGAAACTTGGCGAACTACAACAACCACTATCAAGAATGTACAAGTATTTATAAATAGTTGTCTACGCAAGATATTCAACATTCATTGACCGGATACCATCAGCAACAGCCTTCTCTGGGAGATAACAAATCAGCTTCCAGCTGAACAAGAAATTAGGAAAAGACGATGGAAATGGATAGGACATACACTACGCAAATCATCAAACTGCATCACGAGGCCAGCCCTAACTTGGAATCTTGGAGGGAAACGGGAAAGAGGAAGGTTAAAGAACACATTACGTTGGGAAATAGAAGCAGATATGAAAAGGATGAACAACAACTGAAAGGAGCTGGAAAGGATTGCCCAGGACAGGGTTGGATGGAGAATGTTGGTGAGTGATCTATGCTCCTTCACGAGGAGTAACAGGCGTAAGTAAGTAAATTTTTGAGAAGAGGGTTTTGTGGAGATTTTAATAATTTCAGTTGTTGAGATCATGGGTCAATTGAATTTCTTTTTTTTTAAAAAAGATGAAGTAACCAAGGGATAGTAAGAGTTGCCTTGACAAATAATGAACCATATAATTCATTGTTTACTAATAATCAAAGAAAAAAATATCACTGTAAAGAAAATATAATTGAAGTAGTTGAATAATGAAATATATAAAAGCAAGTAGATAAAATTATCAATATAATATCCTGCATTATTATAAATCGATTGAAGTTACAAGTGTATACTATTGTATACTAACTTAGTCATCTATAGATAGTATTCATTTCAGAGATTGAAGGTCCTAAGTAGAATATTTTATGGTGGAGTTATGTGTGCATACTTCTGAGGAGTTTTGTAGTCGGAAGAGATAAGTGTTCAATCCCTTCTTCTATTTAATGAATGTTTTATTTAGGGTCAATTCGAAATTTCAATAACATTCAACAATCTTTATAAGCTCCATATTAGTTAAAAGGAAGGAAGTAAAGAATTAAGCGTAATTTTGGTAATTCATAGTTTGTTTGATAGAATGTTTATAGCGTGAATCGAATAAACCAATAGAGATGAATTTATGGGACTTCAGTCTTAAATGTAATCAAATATTGTATTGCTTAATCTTATACTGACATGTAATTCCTCTAATGAGATTGTTATCCTTTGAGTTTACACTAATATCATAAAATATCACTCGGATGAAACAACTAGTACTTGAAATGTATGAAGCTCAGAAAAAAGAAGAAATGGAGTGGGGTCATTACGGAGGTTCAGATGCTGTTTTGGCTCATCGATTCCGCGTCAATGTGAATCGTGATTACTGGGTAAAGTATAATCATCCAATAATAGCATCGGATGCCAATGTAGTTTTTGGAACACACTGTCACTATTATATAATCAAGTTTAGATTATATTTTACTCATTTTTCTAATGAAATAAATTACTTGAATATTATAAAGACTATTATTTTGTAGTTGACATCATGAGTCAATTAAAATTAGATCATCATGAAAGGCCTAAAAGCATTGGACGGCTGTTTCGTCCTAGTACAGGACTCCTCATTATTTGTCTTAAGTTTCAACTGTGATCTTTTTTTAATCTAAGAGGATGAACTTAATAAGGTATGTTTCGTATTCTATTTAAAGTATAAACTGAGAATCTTTGTCATTATTCTATCCCCATGTTGTTGTAACTTTCGAATGAACACTAATCCTTTTGGATATTTGTTGTTAAAAGAAAAATCACTGACTTAAATTGAATGCAAACAGTTATTGTACATGCTGTATAACAAAATAAATGTTATTATATGTGCTATGAGTCAACACTGAACTAACCAGATAGAAATTATGAATATAGACAAGTAAATGTTTTAATGAATTGAAAATAAAATGGTGAGACTATAATTTATGGACGAACCAATCAGATTTAAGATGATCGATCTTCAAATTTTGGCGGGAAACCAATTCATCCACTTGGTTAATTAGAATTTTGGCATTATAGCTTATGTCAATTCGTGATTAAAAACCATAAATCTAATCTAAATCATAATTCTAATTCTTCACACTGGTTTTTAGTCCTCATTTGATGCTAACTATTAGGCGGACACTCTCAAAGTCAGCTTAATGCCATTCAAAGGTCATCTATAAATTATAGTCTCAACGATAAAATTGTTACATTATTATTTCAATGTAAAGTTGTTTATTATATCATTTTTAGTATAACCTTGTAATTTATGAGAAAGAAAAATTGTAAATAAACATCTATTCATTTGTAACATTTGCCAAATTCATGGATACTGTAGTAACTGTGCTTCGTTGACCAGTCACCCTCGTAACCGTTACCATATAATCCTCAACGGTATTTGAAATCAGAAGGCAAAGAGAAGCAGTGACTACAGATTTATCAGCAGATAACTCAGATCACAAAGCAGTGAGGCGAATGAGTGAGTCAGCGAACTGAGATTGTAGAGTGTATATGTACATGTATATATATATATATATATAGGGAAATGAATGGATCATCGAATCAATTAAGCATTTAATGAGTTGCTATAATACACTACTAAATAGATCCCATACTAGGACGAAACGGCCGTTCAATGCTTCCAGGTTTTCCATGGTGGTCTAGCTTCAATTGACTAATGATTTCAACTTGTGACATTCCAGAAATGTTATTCTCATCAAAAAACTAACTGTCCGACAGTATGATGTAGTAAACTACTTTGTTTCAATATGAGATAGAAAAAAATGTTTTTATACATAGAATGCATACATTTATAGATTGTATTATTTATGGAATATACTCAATTAGTGAGTAGTTAAATTCCATTAAATACTTTGATTCAATTTCAAAATCCATATTTATATCAGAATGGGTTTTGTGGAGAGTTTTAGGAATTTCACAGGTTGAAATCATGAGTCAGTTGAAGCTAGACCACCATTAAAAACCTGGAAGCACTGGACGGCCGTTTCGTCCTGGTATGGGACTCCTCAGCAGTGCGCATCCACGATCCCGCACCACGCGAGATGCGAACCCAGGACCTACTGGCTTCGCGCGCGAGCACTTAACCACTAGACCACTGAGCCGGCATCCAACGGTGTTAATGTCTAACTTCAACCAATCCACGAAGTTGCGCCACCGTACACCATTGTCTTCAGTGAGTTGTTATCTCACAACAGACCTAGGTCCGAGCCCCGCGTGGTGCGGGATCGTGGATGCGCACTGCTGGGGAGTCCCATACAAGGACGAAACGGCCGTCCAGTGCTTCCAGGTTTCCAATGGTGGTCTAGCTTCAACTGACTCATGATTTCAACTATATTTATATGTTTTAACAATTCTACCCTCATGTTCATAACTGAAATCTTCTCAACACTTTCAAGACAAGTATATTATTACTTTCACACTAATAACACTATACAACTTCGAATCACTTTGACGTTTTCTAACATTCATTGATAAACTGTTTATGATGAACAACAATAACAACAAAATTAGTTCTTCATAAAACAAACATGAAAAAAAAATCCAGGTAATTTATTCTTTAATTTAAATAATCTGATACACCTTAATAGATGAATCAGATAATTATTCAATTCATAATGGTGATAATAATTTTTTTTTAATTTGGCATTTATTAAGATTTTTATGTGTGTATATATTATACGTGACAACTATTTTTTTAGTTGTCATAGTAACCAACAGAAGTTTTCTTTTCCTTTTTTTTCTTTTCTTTTTTTTTAAATTTGAAAACACAAAAATAATCATTTCAAGTTATGTAATAAGCAACATAATTAAAATTCATTATATAATGAATAAATAAGTGTAAAGAATGTATTTCTTTAGTTTAAATGTTTATATTAGAATGAAACATGTGATTGAATAATTATATAGTCGGTATTTCTATACTTATACTTTGAAAAGGCTTATTATTATATAATAATTATATTCTTAATGTGGTTATGCATTCTATTACTCGGGTTTCTCCTCATTTGCGGATAAATCTTTCGCCTTTTACTAAAGATGAGAGAGAGATAAGTAACCATTTGAGGTATTCAAGTTTCTAATAAGATTGATCCGATTTGAAATGGTATGAATTATTTAATGGAATTTTATCATTCTTGGTTAACATTTGAGTATCGTGTATTGATACTGACATGAAATTACAAGTTGATATAGAATAAATGAAATTTAACTAGCAATAGAATCTTTAATGTATGTGTTTGTATTATTTGTGACTAATAAGCTGAATATACTTGGATTCTGTAGTGAACATCAATGCTGGAATGGAGGTATATAGAGTTGACTGATATTGAATAGGACAAAAAGCATATCCTGGATTCCAATGCCAGACATATTCCATTCATTCAAGAATAGGAAGGTTAATAGGTTTGGATAGTGTCTACTATTAGAATTTAAGATCAGCATTTCGCTTTATTTAAAATTAACTATTTAAATGTATCTCCAGTTGTGTTGATTATTACACAACAATTCAAACCCGATATACTTGACCAATTCACTATTTACTGAGTCATTAAGTTCAAGTATTCACTAAATTATTCAGTGCGTGTAATAATAATATTAGTACATTGTAATAACCAGCTATTATCACATGAAGCAAGGTAAAAAGAAATAATTTTCTCAAGTAATAACCTGTCAGATATGATCGGCAGAAATTATCTCTAATTAGAAAAAATTCTTGATCTGAATTCTAAACCCTAGATAAATATATTCTTGTATAGTTTGAACTCATTATGTTAACTTAGCTTTCTGTTATTAAGTGCCCCCTTCTCAAATAACTACAATTTATGGTAATATATGATATTTTTAGCATACTTTTTTTCACTCATTATAATCAGTCAATCAAATAACGTAATTAGACTATTTGCAATCCCTATCTCTCTTCAATGAAATAATCAAAGTCATTCAAATAATAATTGTGTATCATTGTATTTTTCATAGTTCTATCACATAGTTCTTAACGGTTACCTCTTATATAAATCATTAATAAACAAAGATTGAGAAGTATTATATTGTCTCTGATATAAATGATACTTTGCATTACATATCAAAATAATGATTACGAAAAGAGTAAGAATAAAGATTCTAGCAAAATAGTATGAATTCATTTTATCTCGTTGGTTCATGTCAACTGTTTACAATTTGTGATATTTAAACATCATTATTCTTTACATGAAAGAGTTTGGTCGGAAGTTACTTTGAAGACATATCAGTATAGTATAGTCAGGGTGTAATTAAACTTCATAGACTGATAAACTACGTCTTCTCATTGCATTATCGAGACTGAATATTGTCAATATATACCTTATATAAAAGAACATTCTATAACACTGATTGTAACAAGAGTTCAAAAGGCTAGAAACAAGTGATTAAATAATGAGTAAAAACTGATAGGAATTAAATGAGTAATCACTTCTTTCTATCCATCTAAACTGTTGTCACAATCAATGTTGTAGAATGTTCGTTTACAGAAGGTATATATTGACAATATTCAGTCTATTAATTTCAATTACACCCTTGCTATTCTATACTAATGTCTTCAATATAACTTCCAGCCAAACCCTCTCATGTAAGTAATTATGATTTATACATATCAACGGTTGTAAACAGCTGATGAGAACCAACGAAATAAAATGAATACACACTATTCTGCTAGAATCTTTATTCTTGCTCCCTTCAATAATGATAAAAGGAACTATGTGTATAAAAAAACAATACAAAAATGTATTATCTTAAATTTGAATCACAAAATTCATAGTATAAAAGCCTTAATAATAGCCGGATATAACTTATGAACACTATGATATCCGTATTGGAAACATTGTACAGTTAGAATAAAAAAGATAGTATTATATAGTTTATTAACTTGCCTCTTGATGTGTCGTTATCTGAAAATAATGTTCACTAAATTTTAATTTTAAAATCATTGAAATAAATGTAAATAAGTATTTCAGTAGTAAACATAATCCAATGGTGAAAAAAATGTTCACAGAATGTTGTGTATATATATATATACACTTTCTATAGTATTGTGGTGAACGAGAACACTAATGGGGGACAATCGAATGTATTTGAATATAATAATACTGAATCATTTAGTAAAATCTGAGAACCATACAATAAATAATTCATTTGCAAAATGTCAGTCGATTGTCTTAGACTTGATTGTTCTTTCGTTTGCACATCAGTCATTCTCTGTTCTCGCTATCTTCTTTTCCATCTTTCCAACCTTCACTTTCGATTGGTGATGCATACTACTTATATATGTTGACATCAGTAGCACATGACACAGTATGTTTACGATAAATCGAATATTTGATTTAATATTTTAATATAATAGGCTACAATATGGTTTTAAACACATTTTTTCCTTCCAATTTTACTTGAAAAATATATACAATCGCATGATTTCACATTTTACAATGATGCTAAATTGTTCACATAATCATAAGCCAAAAAACAGTAATGCTTACAGTTAGAGGACACTCTAAAGCTCTTTTATATATAATAATTTACAGTAATGGTTGATTATATTAATCTTCTTAAATTGTTTCCTATTATGTAACTCGAATGAGCTCAGAGGACAAAGCTCCATCAAAATCATCTAACTGAGCTACAAATCTTCTCCACCATCTCAAACGCGAATGTTATAGTGTTAGTAATAGTAATCAATAAGTTTTTTTACTATCGTATCTTTGAAAATCCCAAACATCCATTACAATTCATCTAATATAAATATTCTATAGATTTAATTCCTTAATAATCGACAATTCTTTAGCTGGTCAACTTTTAAATCAAAAAGTACACTGTTACTCAATGAAAAAAAGATGTTAAACTGAACGGTTCTAGTATATATATCAGTATGAGGATTTTTAGAGATTGTAATATTTCACGGTGGTCTACCTTAGATCAACTCGTGATTTCAATGGTGACAAAATAGATATGCATATATATATGTATTCAACTGTTTTTGTTGATGAATGACAGTTGCTTTAGCAACACAACTAAGAACATACATAAGTATATTTTTATTAAATAAAAGTTGATATTCTACTATTTTTTCGATTGTTAACACAATGAATTTAGTACACCATTAATAAACTATGGTGTATATATAAATAGCTAACTGCATAGTTAACTATGATCCATCACTATGTTTGTTATTATTATAAAAAGTATCTTTGTTCATCTTTTCCGATATTTGAATATGAAGTATGAAATAAAATGAAAATGATTATCTTACTTGCTGATCCAGTATCATTCACTTGTTTAATCAAGATACAAAAAGGCGGTATGAACAATATTATTATTATTATTATTATTATTATTATTAAAAGGTAATAATGTAAGGTAGAAATATGCCATGTTCTACATTATAAGCATGTTACTACAAAGATATGTGTAATGTATAAACACACTTGTATGCTAGTATGAAGTGGTTTTCAATGTTAGTAAACAAAATAAATGGTGTACTAAGCCAACTATCATAGTTCTAGAGTACAAAATCTGTAATCTATTCCAATTCTAATAATCTAATGTGTATTTGAGAGAAAATCCCGATGCATTAACTTAATGCATATATATACCAATATATCCCTCAATTTATTTGTACCTACCTTTTGTATATTACCTATTTGTACTTTATATGAAATGTAACCATACGCTTTAATTCTTAAAAAAATATTTTCCTTAATTAATACATGACAAATAACTTCACATAAAAATTTAAAATAACGTTTCAATAGTTGAGATCATGAGTCAATTAAAGTTGGACCATCACAGAGAACCCAGAAGCACTGGATGACCGTTTCGTCCTAGTGTGGAACTCCTCAGCGGTGTGCGTTCACGATTCCGTCTCGCGAGATTCAAACTCAGAACCTATGAGTTTCGAGCGTGAACGCTTAACATCTAGACCACTGAGCTAGCCTGCATCCAACGGTGTTAATGTGTAAATTCAACCAATCCACGAAGTTGCTCCACCGTCCACCATTGTCTTCAGTGAGTTACTATCTCATAACAGACCTGGCTGAACTCCACTGGTCACTGCTTCTCACTAGAATTTCAGGAAATACCTCTTGAAGCCAGTCATATGTTAATTAATAACAGAAGCTTCATTTGACTAATGATCTCAACTATTAAAATTACTATCAAAATCCACAACAAAAACCCTTCTACTATAGAGTCAACATTCAACTAAGTTAACAATCCGTAAAATTATTGAAATCAATCCAATTTATCAACCAAATAGATAAGTCAAACTATTATGAAATTAGGATTCTCGTTAACAAGGAAGATGACAACTATTTAAGGTCAACAAAAAGAATTATTAAACACTTGTGGTGAAATTCTCATAGTTTATTAATATTTGAGGTTTTTCTCCAATGATATGGTTTAGAAGGACAAGGAGAGCTCAAAATATTAAATAACTTAATTTACAGAGCGTAATTTTAGCAAGATCTTCTTCCTGAACGACAGATCTCTACAATCTATAAGTGACATGAATACGTTAAGTTTATAGACTAATTATAATTTACTTAAACTGAATATTTTGATAGATGATTCTTATGAAATGGTGAATCATCTATATTTATATTTACGAATCAATCTAAGCTAAGATAATAAATATGATTGTAATATAGAGATAATAGATTAAAATGAAATAACTGAATCAGTTGTAAGATATACTCACGTTTTGCACTTCCTCCATCTGCTAAACATTGTCATTTTAAAAATAATAGATTTTAACAATGCAGTTTACTTCAAAGTCAATAGTTTAACAGTAATATTGATATATAAATGAATACAATGCATTTTCCTGCGTACTAGTAAGAAACCATGACCAGTAGAGTTAATCTCTGTCGGGTGTGAGACAGCTATCCATTGAAGACAATGGAAGATGACCACACGATGTCATGGATTGATTAGAGACATTAATATCGTTGTCAGTAGTGCAGAAGTTAAGAGTAAAGTGTGAGATCAAAGATCCTAAAGTTGATTGCTGTGTGTAGAATCGTGGATAAGTACCGCTAAAGAATTACATATTATTACGAAACGACCGTTCAGTGCTTTCACGTTTTTAATTGAGGTGTAACTTAGATCAGTTCATGATTTCAGTTAAATGTAATAACTTTATTTCAAATATTTACCATTCACTGTTGACTAATCGAAACTTTATGTACATTTTTGTCCAGTGACAAAAAACAGAATATCAGGAAACTAAGAAAATTTTCAGTTAGTCAATATATCATACTATTTGAAATGATCCGCGGCTATTAATTTATATCGTGTAAATAGTTGGTTAATCTCATTTAGATTTATTCTCAGAATAACTTGATGCTTTAGGTAACATGAAACTGTTAAAACCCATTGAAAATGAAGTTAATCTTTGCCATCAGTATTTAATTTAACAATGATCATATTCACCAGCCGATGAAGAAAAACAACAAACAACTGAACCACTGACTAGCATTTTAACGACATTGAATACGTAGTCGACATTCCTGTTCATTTTTAAGTATAGATATTAAAATGTTTGGAGTAGATATTTAGTTCTATTTGACAGTCAACTAAAAATATTTCTCCAGTGAAACGTTGGAAAGAAATGATCATTATTAAGATCCATTCCACTAACTCAATAAAGTAACTTCAAATTGATGAAAAATAAAATAAAAGTGTATAAAACTTTGGTAGCCCTTAATCTGTCTCCGATTAAATCGTATGAATGATTGTTGTCAAAATATATATCCTGACTATTCTCGTATATAATTATCGACTTAAATCTCGTTAGTCAATAACGGAATGAAATAAGTCAAGTACGAGAATGGATGTTTGAATACGTATATATTCGTACGCTCATTGTTTTGTAAAAGCAATCAGAAGGATGAAGCGAATAGAAGAGAGCGAAGTGAAATGACTCGCGGTGGAGAAGGTGTGTGAGCCAACTCCATTTCGATCAAGCGTTAATCAATACTTATAGTCACACAAAAATAAGTTGAAGACGTGTGATGAATATGATGAGAAGTGTACACACACCCTCATATAAAAACAGTCAAGGTTGACAAGTGAATAATTAGTAAAGTGAAAATGTGACTCAAGAAAAATAGATAAATCGGGCTGTCCAAAGGCTACAATAAGCAATGTGAACTTAACATAGTAACCGACATTACAAGTCCAAGAAGCATATAAAAAACCTTTAGTTATATAATACTACCATTATGTATTGTAAACATCCTAAGTAATTATTATCATCATTGAGTAAATAATATATTAAAAAAGTGCTTTGTTCTTGTATTTTCTCGAAAAAACAAACAAAAACAAAACACAGATAGCATGAAACGCTAAATGTTAAAAAGTATTCAAATATCAATCTTATAACACCGTTCATCCTTATTAACTTGATGAACAAAAAAGTATATTGATTGAAATCATGAGTCAAATGAAGCTAGACCACCATGGAAAACCTGGAATCACTGGACGGCAGTTTCATCCTAGTATGAGACTCCTCAGCAGTACGCATCCACGATCCCGCACCCCGCGAGGCTCGAACCCAGGACCTATCAGTCTCGCTCCAGGCGCTTAACCAACTAGATCACTGAGCCGGTATCCAGTGATGTTAATGTCTAACTTCAACCAACCCACGAGATTGCTCGACCATCTTCCATCGTACTGAAGTAGACACCTGTTTCTACCTGACACGAAATAGCTCCACTGGTCACGGCTTCTCACCAGAACTCCAAGAATTTTCTCACGAAGCTAGTCACTAGTTGGTTAAGCGCCAAGAGCGAGACTGATAGGTCCTGGGTCCGAATCTCGCGGCGTGTGGGATCGTGGATGCACACTGCTGAGGACTCCCATACTAGGAAAAAACGGCCGTCCATTGCTTCCAGGTTTTCCATGGTGGTCTAGCTTCAATCAACCCATGATTTCAATCAAAAACTTAGCAATCTCAACAACCCCTAAACTGAAAAAAATATATCATGGAGAAGTAAATCAAAAAGAAACACAATATTTGTAATATTCCAAAATTAGATTTTCTAACGTTTCGTAACTCAACTTAACCCACTTCCTCAGGGAATAACTAACCAACATTAAAAGGAATCCAAATTCTCTTGGATACGGAAGTATATAGAAAATTTTTTTATAATTCATATTTTAAATTGTCAATATTGTAATTCTATTGGCTATTGGTTATTACTTAAATAAAGTTTCTTTGTTTTTATTTTAGAAAAATAAAGAATCATACGGTTTTGCATTACTGAAATTATCCACTTGTTTTATAAAAACCTATCTGTATTACTTTTAAAAGAGTAGTGTATTTCAGTTTAGAAAAGAAAAAGACTAAAACAACTTATTGCCTTTGATAACTATATATATATATATATATATATATATATATATCAACTACGAAAACCATCATCCAGGAGATACAAGTGTTTATTAACAAATATCTACGCAAAATACTTCGAATCCGTTGTCCAGACACTATCAGTAACAACCTACTGTGGGAGAGAACAAACCAGATTCCAGTGGAGGAAGGAATCAGAAAGAAGCACCGGAAGTGGACAGGACACATATTGAGGAAAGCACCCAACTGTGTCACAAGACAAGCCCTCACGTGGAACCATCAAGACCAAAGGAGGAAAAGAGGAAAACCAACGAACACATTCAGTCGAGAAATGGAGACAGACATGAGAAAAATGAACGAAAATTAGATAGAACTGGAAAGAAAGGCCCAGGACAGAGTGGGTTTGAGAATGCTGGTCAGTGGCCTATGTTCCATTGGGAGCAACAGGCGTAAGCAAGACAGTTGGATTCAGGTTAAGATTTACTCAACAGTTAGGTGTGAAACAAAACTTACCAGTGTACCGGCCTGTAAAAGAGATATATTATAATTAATCATTCTTTATTTACAAGAAGAACAAAAAGTTCAACCGATAGGAAGTAAGCGTGTTAATTTGGTTCAAATCATCCATAAATCTTATATTATGAGTTTTCATGATAATATATTGTGTAACAATTATGTACAGTATAATTTTAAAACAACAACTAGATAAATAAGTGTAAATAATATTCTTATATACATTGAAACTAAGAACACAATTCAAAATTGTATATTGAACTGGAATAATTCAGACTGGTAGAATAAACTATTAATGAATTTATTGTTCATAGAATAAAGGTTTGTGGAGATTGCAATGATTGTAATGGTTGAATTCATGAGTCGATGTAAGCTAGATCACCAATGTGAACTTTGAAGCACAGGGCAATCATTTCCTCCTAGTATGGGATTCCTCCAATCCGTGTCGGATAAAGAAAGGTATCTACCTCAAACAATGAATGGTCTCACAATATCATGAATCAATTGAAGTTAAATATGAATATCGTTGGATACCAAACAAGTGGCCTAGAGGTTGAGCGTTCGCGCATTAGACCGAAAGTTTTGGGTTTGAGTCTGGCATGCTGGGTCATGGATACGCACTGCTGAAGAGTCCCCTAGTAGAACGAAACGACCGTCCAGTGCTATCAGTTTTTCAATGGTAGTCTAGCTTACTTTGACTCATGAATTCAATGATTAGGAATTTACTGTTGTCAATAACTGATATTACAAGTCCGTATTGTGTATTGATTTTGGTTTGCATTTGGGAAAGCTATAATTTTCACTGCTTCTTTACAATAAAACTTTTCTTAAAATACCATTTTCCAGAAAAACTAACTATATTTTATTTGTAACTCTCGCAATCATTTGCAGGTCATTAAACCAATCATTATTCGGTTACTTGGTCAGACATTTTAAAAACACTGTATCCTCTGATCTCGATAATTTAGTTATGAAGCTTTTATTATTGTTCTAGACAAAAATCATCAATATAAACCTTAGAAATAATAATGTGTTTGTTTTAATTATGAGATTGGCTAAAGTGAAGATAATAACTTCATAACTATACCGTCTAGTTCGGAGAACGCGAAATCTCTAAAAAAAAGTTCATCTTTTGAGGATTTACAACTGTATGCAAACAGTACACATAACAACTGATAAGTGTTAAGCACCGCAAATGTATTTCATATTAACCTAGTAGTAAACAATCGATAAATATTATTATTATAATAATATTATTATTATTATTATTATTATTTTCTTATAATATCAAAAGGGGTTTTGTGGAGATTTTAGTAATTTTGTGGTTACTATCGTTACTAAAATAGCAACTATAATTGATTAGAAGGGAGAGCCATTTTCTCTTTCTGGATGAATCAGTACGGTAATAGAAAATACAGCATGACAAATTAACAACCAATATCGTTCAAAGACACCAACGACAAATCTGTATACTGATTGCCTTGGCTCGTTTTTTTTCACCCCATCGCCAATGATATGTCTTGTCAGTTGAATGTTACTTCTTAGAACAGTTCGTCGCTGGTTGTTGTGTCGGAAACTCTGATCACTTATACTCGAAACAAGGGACCTCTGCAATTCTCACGACGCGAAAGTAAGAACACAATTGTTAAGCGTTTCCAACACAACAGCCAGCGACGACCAGATATAAAAAGTAGCATTTAAACAAAACAAGACGTATCAAATGCATAAGTCAATTGTAGTTAGACGACTATGGAAAACCTGGGAACACTGGATGGCTGTTTTGTTCTAGTATGGGACTCGTATATATTATTTTAGGTTATATATCCCAATACTTTCGAATTTAGATAATGACCATTACATTTAATTATTTACTAATAAATAATTACATACATATACACAATGTTTCACAGGTTGAAATCATGAGTCAGTTGAAGCTAGACCACCATTGAAAACCTGGAAGCACTGGACACAATGAACATCATGTCAAATTGGAATAGCATATTAATTCAAATATATTTATCATATTTTATTTTAAAAATTAAATATTTACTTTCATTGTCACCTATGGAAGCAAATCATGTAACAAAAAGGAAAAAAAGGAAACAAAATATATGTAAGTATATAAACATATAAGCGAAGAACAAATGTAATTCGATTGTAACTAGTTGAATTTCGCTATTGTTCAAGTTGTGGAATTATAATTGATCAGCAACTTTTTGATTATGCGTTTATTGTGCGGATGACTTTAACATTACTATCAGATGTAAAACATTTGAAAGTAAAGTTGGATAGTGAGTAGTAGTGAATGAATATTTGATTCTTTGTGAGATGAGCCATTGTGATATGCTTGCAGCTCACAGTTGATGTTCATTCTGAAACTAGAACTTAATAACTTTCGCTTCAAATGCGAATGTACTGATGATGATGATGATGATGATGATGATGATGATGATGATGATGATGATGATGATGATGATGATGATGATGAAACGTGTATCCTAGATTTTACTGCTAGCTACTACTCAACTATGCTTAAAATAGAACAAATAAATTTTAACAATTTAAGTCACAAACTAATATCAGATAGATCACCATTAAAAATTTAAAAGCTTTAGATGGCCGGTCTGTTCAATTGTGAGATTTCTTGACAGTGCTTAGGTCGTGGATGCTGACTGTTAAGTCAAATTTCCTTGAATTCTCTTTAATCACTACACACTAAAGTGTTGGGCTAACTTCAAAATGAATCTTAATTTTCATTTAAATATTGATTAGGTGAAGCTGAAATATGTTACACAATTAGTCACAAAAATTAATTCATTATTTCACAGTGCATTATTATAAGAGATCAAATGCTGTGAAATAAAACTTCGAACCATTCGAGTATACTGGAAAAAAAACCATGACTGTTATGCAATTTTTATGTAATAATAAATTGTTCGGGAAAAATTGCTACAAGGGTAAAGAAAGATTTATAAAACATTTACGTAATATTACATAAGAACTTTCATCTGACGTTGATCGAGTCAGTTTCACAGTATTTAAGCATCGAGTTGATATGAGACATTAAAGAGGAAGAATGTATTTTAAGTAAATCCAACGTTTTCCCTGACAATCTGGTTCAAACGTTTTCAAGGAAATTTAATCAAACACCAGAATTACTGATTATATTAATAAGTACCTAGATACAAATACATTCTTCCTCTATTATTTACGTAATCTTCACAATGGATTGTTAAGTATAATATAATACTACATATCAACGTTGTATTATAAATATAATCAAGTCATCCAAAGCTTTTAAGAGTATATACTTTCACTAAATTAGTTACTAATAAAACAAGATATTATTCTCAGAAGGGGTTTGGTGGAGATTTTAGAAATTTCACTGATTGAAATCATGAGTCAATTGAAGCTAGACCACCATGGACTAGTGATTGACTTCAAGAGATACTCATGGAGTTCTAGTGAGAAGCCGTTACTAGTGGAGTTCATCCAGGTCTGTTGCGAGGTAGTAACTCACTGAAGACAATGGTGGACGGTGGCGGAACTTCATAGATTGGTTGAAGTTAGACATTAACACCATTGGATGCCGGCTCAGTGGTTTATTTGGTTAAGCGCCTGGCGCGAGACTAGTAGGCCGTGACTTCGAATCTCGCGGGATGCGGGATCGTGGATGCTCACTGGTGAGGAGTCCCATACTAGGACGAAACGGCAGTCCAGTGCTTCGAGTTTTTCCATGGTGGTCTAGCCTCAATTGACTCATGATTTCAGTCAGTGAAAATATTATCCATCTAAGCTTTTTAATCTTAGAAACGAATGTGATATGTATTGTTCAATAACACACACTGAATAATAAAAAAAACCATGAATCTGTATCGTCTTTTGTTATTGTTTAATAATTTGTTGCAGTTATATCCCGATGAGAATAATGAATAGTAACTTTTGGAATCCATTTATGGAACAATATTATACGTATATTTTTATCGTATAATTTTTAACTAAACTATAGATATTCATATCTCTCTTATTATGAGCTTTAGTTTGACCTATGAACTATTATTATGCGATTTACCATTCTTGAGTTATGCCCTGTCTACCAATTAGCATTTCCAACATTCAGAGCTACATTTGGCTAAATCTTGTACAAATGTTGTTTACTATTTTATGGTACCATGTGGTTTGTCTGGTTGATATATAAACCTAGTATGTTTGAAATACATAATCATATCACAGAGGCTGAGATTGGTGTTCTGGATTTGATAGGCTGGGCTAGGCAGGAAGAAGGACAGATAAGGATTCTAGACTGCTCGTACTTGTTTTATGCGACATTGGTCCGATCGATAGTTCACTGTTCTCTGATTGGCGGTATCATTACGTTATACAATCAGTAGGACACAGCGCAGAAATTATAACAGGTGCTTATAATTATTATCCAGATGATAACAGTTTGTGAATGAAAACTATTACTATAAAACACATAAGAAATCTCATTGAATTGATTCTATTATCTTCATTATTTTCAGAGTTTATTTAAAGTTATAAGAAAGATAATTTCAAATATACAACTTACCAGATCTCTTAACTCCTTGATAATGTGGTACATTCCATCCGAAATCCCCTCTATTACCTACAGGTAAATAACGTCCAACAACATATGCTTTTGTTTGATCTTGACTTAAGGCTAATCCAAATCCAGCATGTGTTGTGGATTTCCAAATCATCTGAGTAAAATGACCTAAAAATATCAAAAATGAAAATGAGATTTAATTTGTTAACCAGTTGTGTCTTGACATGAAGCATTTAAATTGGATTCCTTTTTTCATCTTATTTTCGAACACTTTTCCACTAATATGAGTAACCTGACATTAGTTTAAAAAAGTACGAATCACGAAAATAAAACAGCCAATGTAAGGAATCGTAGACACTTACACTATTCCTGACTCTTACCAATGTCCACATCATATGTTATTTGTAATGAGTAAGTTGTTATCCGAATCCTATATAAAATGCTAGACCTTTTAACAATTCATAATAAATATATGATTAGAGCTATGATTGTATAATTTCTGGTGGCAAATGATCAATATGAAATCCAGTTTAGTATCACGACAACTTTTCTTAATTAAAATATGTTCTTCATCTACTCTGGTACATTTAAGATGAAGATAGAGTCTTATAACAAAAATTACGTGAAAGACCAAAGTTTGATATTTTTCTCGACTTTTTTGCACCAATCTGATGTATTAAATGCATTTTGAAAAAGACTTGGAATACCTGACCAGTTGTACTGACTGTACATTATTTGAAACTAGTGTAGTTAATGACAGTTAGACAGTCAAATAACAGAAACACACTACTGAGTAAGCTGAACATAAGGTTAAATTTAGGAAATCTATTTAATTTAATCATTAGGACCAATCGAATTATTTCAACACATTCAAATAATGTCTTCTCTGTTTAAATCATTTAGCTATTTACGTACGTAATAAAATGCTATTTGTTTTTCTATTTTAAGCAGAGCTTAATGCTTAATGTATATCTCGAAACTAAATGGATAGTAGAGATGGATGGTGGCTAACAGTGGAGTCCAAGACGTGCGTTAAGTCCTATTTGGGACTTGTCAGTTGTATGTACCTGGATCGTATGGTACATGGTTGGAGTCCCGGAGTGGACATTAACTCTGACATGCCGATAAATTCAGCTGACGAGTCCCAAATAGGAAGAAGCTTGTGTTCTGTTTAAAATGCTTGTAAAGTAATGGTAATATCGAGTCAATCCTCTTAGGATGTAAATATTCCAACAGAGACTGGTCAATTGCAGTGCTAAACAATAAGTGAAAATATAAACAACCATTATATATGAATTAGTTGAGTAATGGGAATCTCTAAAAGATGAAATTGTTTTATACTCAATCAAGATGGTTTAATTAAGATCTTTAATATTTCCAATACGTAGGGCTATTCATTTTATAGAATAAAGTTTCGTATTCAAACCACTATGTTTGTACAAAATATACACCACTCAATATAAATTGTTTTTCTTTTTTAAATGAATACTAAGATAGTAAGTTTGAAGGTTGAAGAAGTAGTTGTACATTCAATCTCGATATTATTATGCAAAAGAATACTGAACTTTGATACTTTCATTCTCAAGTTAAGAGTTCCCGAAAAACACGTATTAATGGAACTGGTTAAAGAAATGACACAGTATCATATTTATCATTATGATCATTGCAACTCACGTGAATTTGGATGATAACATTGATTAAAGTCATGATAGTCAATCTCACTATACCAGGTCTGTGAAACTTCTTCACCTAAAAAGAATTATAGTGATAAACATGATAATAATATTCAGTAGGTTACTAAATGATCTGCATATTTAGTTAAAAGAAATAACGATTGTAGAATATATTTCATAATCTGCCTTTTACTTCCGGTCTGTTGAATAATAGTAAAAGATTATAAGCAAAGATGGATTGTAACTGGACACACCTTTACTAAACCTTCAAACGATTTTCACATTTCACTATTTAATTAACGTACGTTTGAATCACGAAATGGTCTTTATTAGGTAGATTATTATTTACTAAGACCTAATATCTAATATAAATATATTAAATTATTAGACCCGAATAGACTTAGTTTTCATATTCTTTGATATTAGTCAACCAACTGTTTTCATTGAATAAGTGGTGATTGGGAAAAAAATCTAGATCCAGAACTTCTTTCTGATTGTCATAATCACTCAGGTAACATACTAACTGATAAACCTGAAATTCAGTTGTCCCAATTGGTATCTGCATACTCACTGGTCTAGAAACAAAATGTAACTTTTATTCAGTACTATTAATTTCTGAATAATTCATTGGTTCTAGTCGAAACCTCCCATGTTATCAATATTTATATCTTTAACTTGTATAAGTTTTCTAAACCCAATCCTTTCAAAGACATCTATAACATTAATCTAAAATTTGATACTAGTGTGGTGTGTGCTACCGATGTCGACAGATATAAGTAGTATATATCACCAATCTCAAGTGAAATGCTTGGAGGTAGACGTTTAAGAAGATCAAAGAGAAGAGAATGATTAGTATGTAAATGAAGGAACAAGGATGTCTGAAACAATTGATTGGCATTTTGTATAGTTGTATAGTTTTCAGATTTTACTAAGTGATTCTATAATTTTGTATTCAAATATATTCAATTGTCCCCATTGGTGTTCTCGTTCACTACACTAGTATCGATCCAACTGTAACGTAAGCATTAAAACCAACTTGATCAGCTTCTATAATACATTTCAATAGGACAATCCACAATCGTGTGTATAACAAATGAAGTATCAATAATTACAAGAAATAACAGTTTACAGTTGTAACATTAAAAAAGAAATTATTAAGTTTACATTGTAAAACATTTGACAATTCATATTACATTCATTATTTAGTAAGTTCTATTTAATGTTACATTACTGTCATTCATATTATTAAAATACATTAATATTCATTCATCATTTGAACTATCATTAATTTGAGGTCAACATCAGGTGAGTAAAACTATTTCTTAATAGTACATACTGTTCTCAATATTGACCAATAAAAATTAATACCAATTTAATCTGCAATGTACTATTATGATAAATTCAGATGGATAATCGCTAGCTGTGAAATCCTGGACTCGCGTTTCGTTCTATGTTGGGCTCGTCAGCTGGATGTATCTGCATCTTAGAGTTGATGTTCACTCTGGGACTCGAATTAAGTACCGTTCGCTTTAAACGCCATTGAGTTATCCACTTAGATACTGAGTTCTGATAGCCACTTGCTTGCGCAATAGGGTGAAGTTTATATTCACTTAGTATTGTTTACTTGAATCCTCCAGTTGGTGTTTAGGACTTCAGTTGATCAGTCTGTTAATGGCATATGTGCATACTGTGCTCATTGCCTTGATATTGCCATAATTCACAAGCATTATGATCAAAGATGGGTCAAAGATGGAGCGATCGGTACTGAGTTCGAGTCCCGGAAGGAACATCAAACCTGTGATGCAGGTACACTCAATTGATGAGGCGCGTATCCTGAATTCCACAACAAACCAATATCTATCTTTGCTTATAATGCTTTTAACTTATGACAATATCGAGGCAATACGCATAGTATGCATATATGCCAATAAGAGACTGACGTAATGTAGTTCTAAACATCAATGGAAAGATTCAAGTAAACGATACCAAGTGAATGTATTAGTATTTATAATCTTTTTTTCTGCATTAAACAGTTTGTGTCAAATTAAGGCTCTGTTTATAACTCTATCACCAAAGCTAAGAATCTGACCATTAGTTAATAAATAACAGAATAGCATGATAAAGTATCTGTTTCAGTTACTACAAATAATCGAGTATACATAACTATTATTGAGTCTATGTTTTAAAGATTGCCTTAAGATGAACAACCATTAAATCGAAAAATTGAATAGTGATAAATATACACTTGGCGATATTTCAATGAGCAGAAAACTGTATTTTTGATGTTTCGTGACTTAATGTAAGCCACTTCTTCAGAATAAAGGAAACATTGGGATATAACGAAAAAATATACAGTTGTTATTAAATTTCTATCCAATGCTCGATTTATTTGAAAATATCAAGTCTAATCTTGACATTGATACTAACAAACTGAATAGTAAGATGTTCATTACGCGAACTAAATGTCATGGAGTAGTTTCCGTCATATGTGTTTACTCTAAAAAAGTTTCGAACCTGAGATAATACTTCTGTTTATTCAACTCCAAGTTTTAATGTCTTTCCGTATGATGACAGTTTATGGTGATATTAGGTCTTAAATGTAGTAGATCTTACGAACCAATTATTTAAGAAATACAAATAAATGATAAATAGCAACTAACTATGAATTTACTGCCTTTAACTTGATGTATTTTATAACGACTATATTTTAAACATAGGATACATAAACTACTAAGTTAGTAGCTATTCAGATTCAATGGCTTTTAGGATAACATTTCAATGTTTTAACGGACAAATACTGGGTTCGAGTCATGATGACGACACCCATCTGGGAAAATTCAGACAGGAGGAAATGAGTATCATGTATTTCAGTGCCATTCAAAAGCAGAATATAAGAAAAATATGTCACCGACAACAACTCAATCTTCTCGCGATGCACATGTATGAATAGAATCTAACTAATTCTGGTCCCTAATAACAACGGAGGAAATATATAAATCCTTACAAATATCATGAAGTTATATTTGTTCATTCTATTTGGTGATTAAATCACCATGAATAGATCACTAACTCATGGAACTAACAGAATGGTGTGGGGAAAACAGTTGTAGAGTAGGAGGTAACGCTTCATTATAGTCTAAATTACATAAAAAGCAAAAGAAGTAAGTAATTATAAATGTTCTAACCAAAACGGATCTAATTCAAATCATAATTTCAACATTAGGATTAAAATTCATAGCCATTGCACAAGCGGACGACTACCTGGACTCATTAGCTAAGTAGTGGTGCGTTAACACTCGAGGCCAAAGGCTCCGGGTTAGAAGTCCGTAGTGGATATCGACTGTGGGCACCCAGGTACACGCAACTGACAAGTCTTAAACAAGGGGAAATGCACGTTCCGCATTCCACTGTTATCTAATTTCCATTTATTCTATGGAGATGTTATTTTAATAACTGATTTGCAAATTTTAGTTTAATTCAAGTTAGATTTCACTAAAGATTGATATCAGATAACGAGATTTGTTATTATTTTGACTGAAACTATGATGATTAATCAAATCAACTGACGCACTTGATCAAAAATCAATTAGAGTGGTATATGTAGGCAACTGTAAACCGAACTGGAAGACTGAAGATATTATAAACACCTTGAAAACTAGAGATCTGGAAGACAAGGAAGTCTAAAAGTCTTTAACTAGAATCCATAGTTCGTAACAAAAATAACCATCAACTCGACATTCCAAGTTACGATCAGTGATTCTATTATAGGTACCACACAGTTTCGAGAGAGCACTCATTACTGAATCTCTGAAATGAATTCTTAATAACAGTTTGGTAATCCGAAGTGTAAACAGTTTATATCATGTTACGAATAAGAACAAAAACCAGTACACACTTTGTTTTAAAATAGAATTTCTAAATTAATATGACTCCGTACATATAACAAACTGTTATTACCTGTTATTTGACATGGTGCCACAGACATTTTAAAAGCCAAATTTTCTCCATAATCATTATAATTACTATGATATAGTTTTTCAGCGTCAGCTAAATTTTCAGCCCATTTTTGTGCTGAAATCATTAATTCTTCATCTAATTGAAGTTCTCCACATCCATGTAAAGAACGAAGTCTTTAAATAATATAAGATATAAATTATAATTATATTATGCAATACACTATTCAATTAGAAATCATGATAGTGATTATATACATCAAGATATGCATTTTTTATAATATGGTGCAACTCCATCAGAATAATGGTGAATAAAACATATTAGTGTGGATAGAATGCATCAGCTTACTAATATTAGCATAATATAGTAATAATAATGTAGCCTATTTATAGTGAATAGATTCATGTGCTCAGCTTTATGCTACATAGTTTGTGTAATAGTGCCCAGGAACTGGAATTCAGTAAGATAGAGCTGTGTTTGAACCTATGAGTTGAATGCTACTATACCAACACTTCATCTACTCAAAAGATTGTCTTTAAATTACACCTTATATTACATTAATATAATGATACAAATAATATTCCATATTAACCTAATAGAATCATTTGATAACATTAAGTATTAGTATTATCATTTATCTGAGTTTCATATTTTATTCTTCTAGAACTTTCTTTCTTTCTTAAAATCAATAATTCGAATGAAATCAGTTTCTAATATTTCAAAGATTTCAGTATGAATTTAACATTCCTACTAAATGTTGCTTACTTACTAATCACTTTCAAAGATAGAATCATTCATCAAACTATTTAGAGATAGTGCGCATCCACGATCCTGCTCGCGGAATTCGAACCCAGGGCCTTCAGTCTCGCGCGCGAACGCGGCCGTCCAGTGCTTCCAGGTTATCAATGGTGGTCTAACATCAATCAATTTATGATCTCAATCAAAAACTTAACAATCTCCACAACCCCTAAACTGATATTTAGAGATAGCTTGGATTTTTACAAATGATATAATTTATTCATTCAAGAAAGTACAATGAAACAAAAATTTAATTCAACTTTCGAATATCCATAAATCACTAAAGACCCAAGTTTTAACTTGAGAAAGTATGATTATTTTCACAATTTAACCATTATGAGGTTAATTTATTTAAATGATTTAATCTAATGTAATAAATCTATTTATATCACGGTACGTTGAACAGATGCTTTGTTCTTATATTAGATTCTTTCTTCTTACTTTACATCTAAAATATCATCACTGAAGTTAGCTTGCTTGAATATTTGGACTACCTGTTGCTACCAATTAGACGTTTCAACAAGTTATCCATTTTCTTGTTTGTTTTAATAGATCATTATGCCTATTACTCGCATAATCTATTCAATTAAGAAAGAGCACAATTAGAAACATTGTGGTTGCTAGCAATATACATCGAAAAGAATATACATTAATCAGATATCGTTTCCTGAACTGCTAACATCTAAATGGTGAACACAATATTTATCTCAAGGATCGACCAAGAAATAAGAAAAGGAAACTTGTTGAATTACATTAGGCTGAAAATTCTTAATTACACCAAAAATATAATATTGAATAAAGTCACTAATAATCATAATAATAATACTAACCATTTCTACTCTTAGAAAACTATGGAACCCATATCAGCTATTATATCAATATATTCATATATACGTATAAAAACTACCTCCCAGACAACATGTGGAAATACAAGTTGGTAGAATTTATAAACGTACAAATATAAACCATAACAGATATATTTCAATTTGAATGATAACTGTATATATCCACTTTTAGAATGAATTATATTGAATGAACAGTATTGAAAATATCACTGTTTATTTCAATGAACCAAAATATCAGTTTAGGGATTGTGGAGATTGTTAAGTTTTTGATTGAGATCAATGGTGGTCTAACATCAATCGGTTCATGACCTCAATCAAGAACCTATATATGGTATATATTATCACAATTGATTGATCACTGGATGGTGATCAATGTCATGCTTGTCTAGTCCTTATTAGTGCAGATCGAATGCTAACGATCATGTTGCAATGTATATATATATATATAAATATATATATATATAAATATATATATATATAAATATATATATATATATGTATATATATATTATCAAATAAATTTTATATCATTATCTCATTGAATATCCAATTTTCTTCTGTGTACATTAATGTTATAAAAGAATTGGTAGTGATCACAGATCTAGATGATCTAGATCTAAATGATCAAACTAAGAGTTGTAAAATCCACCATGAACAGTTTTGAATTACATCTTTAATTAACGTCATTCTTTAGATAAATTTAAAACTTGTAAAGTGTTATGCGAAATGAAAATAAATAGTCTTGCTTATTTTATAGTCTATTAATTAGTATTATTTTGAATTAAGCCAGAACAAACATGGATGAAGAATAATATGAATTCATTATATATCGTGGTTTCTCATCAGCTGATTACAACTAAATATTTATTAGAATTTTACATTGGGGTAAGATATAGTGTGGAGCAATTGACATAAGTGAATGTAAAGAATTAGAATGACAATGGTCAACAATGATAACTATATATACATTTGTGCAAGGACAGGTCAGAGATTATTTGGTGTTAGAAATAAGAAAACATTAGGAAAGTGTGATGTAATAGTTGAGTGACAGATAAGATAGATAAGATAAATTATGTGATAGTTTTAGAGATAATGAAGGGTTTACATGATTAATTAAAACAAAACTGGTAAGATGGGTTATGTAACAACTGAATAGGATTTGGAGAGTTTATATAATTTATGAGAATCAAGTGGGTGAAAATGTATGAATGAAGGGGTGGTTTAAGAATGCGGTAATGGAAAGAAATATAACAAACTAAGCATTAACGGAATAGAACTAATGACTAAAAGTTGAATTACTAGGGTAGTAATAGGTTGATTACTATTTCCCTTTGAATACATAGATCAGGTTTGAATTGTTTTTTTTATCTCGAAGTAGTATTTCTTTGTCTGCTAATAATTTTAAAAGCATGAGATGTAAACGGTATGCCCGGCGTTAAGTAAATGCCGGGCTATTGTACTGTTAAAGACCGTTGTAAACTCTTCAATTCCTATTCAAGTATTACGCCACCATCTTACTGATTTTTCAATTTCATGAAAAGCATGTAAACCCTCCATTACTTCTAAAATTATCACATAATTTATCTTATCTGTCTTCGAGCTTTACTCAACTATTACATCACACTTTCCTAATGTTTTCTTATTTCTAACACCAAATAATCTCTGACCTGTCCTTGCACACATGTATATATGTAGTTATTATTGTTGATCATTGTCATTCTAATTCTTTACATTCACTTATGTCAATTGCTCCACACTATATCTTACCCCAATGTAAAATTCTAATAAATATTTAGTTGTAATCAGCTGATGAGAAACCACGATATATAATGAATTCATATTATTCTTCATCCATGTTTGTTCTGGCTTTATATTTAAATTCATTAAGGGAATTAATTGCATGGAACAATATTCTGATAAACTTTTAATCCTCTCTACTTGCAATTACATAAAGATTTCTAAAAAAAATATCTAAAATTCCTTCTATTATATTACTGAACAACTAAAATGATACGGAATTTATGGAAGATTTAAATCATTTATTTATTCATTCTGCTAGATGATTTGTACTACAAAGGTTATTCCGGTAAGTCACAAAGACTGGTTAATTAAAACTAATACGTAGCCTCATTGAAAATAAAATAATAATGATTTTATTTCTAACCTTAGAAAAAAATGTTTTTTTTGAAATTGTGGATTCTACAAATGTCCGTAAACATTTATCCGATTCAATATAGTGAAATGTATTAGCTCGTGTTGCTCAGAAAAATGATCTATTCAAACATCATTCTGTATAACTAAGTTGTAACAGAAATAGATAACCGATGTATTCATCAGCTCATCAAATGCGATACAACAGTGATTCATTTACTGATCAACCTATTGTTGCTGGAAGACAACAGAGAAATTCGTGTGATGTTCTTGAATAAACAAACTTCGTATTACTATCCTAATTAAAAGACAACTATATGTTGATATGACTTCCCTACCATGGCCTTTTGCCGAAAATTTACCACCTTAGTTGATAAAAATTGATTAAATTAGTTCCTATTAAATAAAGATTAACTTAACTATTGTAAAAAAAATGACGTAACCACGTTGACAAACTAACCTCTTAGAATAACAGAAATATTCATATACTGGTTAATGTGTAATACAGAAATTAGTTTCTAGTGAATTATAACTATTTATTCAATATTATCTTTATGAAAAACCGAACGGTTCTATAGTATTCTATCAAGGTAATAGTTATAAACTAATATACTGTTAAGTCTTACTAAAAACTATTACCTAGGTAATGACGCTTAATAGCATCGCGATAAAGCCTAACATTCTACACTAAATTTGTTGTTATCTCTCAAAGAAAAAATTACCAACTAATAATGTAATAAAGAATATTTGTAACTCTGGTGATTAATTCTAAATGGGTTTACTTCTCTAAGCTGGATTTTTTTAGTTGTAAAGTTTCCATTACTCTTCTGAACAATATAATTATTACTATTAGCATAAATCTCGAGTAGAAGTCAGAATCTTTACAATTAAACATCCCAGCTCATAGAAGTAAACTTCATAGGAAACCTACTTGAATATCTGCTCAACCTGCTCCTATCATTTAGATATTTCAACAAGTTATTTGTTTTATTTTATTTTAACACATCATTACGTCTAATAACCACATAAACCATTCAAGCACGTTTGTCAAACGTTTAAGATCTTTCGCTTTATAATTTATAAAAAATGTACAAACAGAGAAATCACAGTGTCTGACAATATACAGCAAAAAGAATGAACATTATTGAGATATCGACTCCTGAACTGTTAACATCTAACTGGTGATCATTCAATATCTATGGTTGGGTTTAATCAAGAAATAAGAAAACGTAACTTGTTGAAATACATTGTGCTAAGACCTCTATATTGTACTAAACATATAATATTGAATAAAGCTAATGGTAATACTAATAATTACAATGGTTAAGATCATGAGTCAGTTGAAGCTAGACCACCATGGAAAACCTGGAAGCACTGGACGGCCGTTTCGTCCTATTGTGGGACTCCTCAGCAGTGCGCATCCACAACCTCGTCCCTTGCGAGATTCGAACCCAGGACCTACTGGTTTCGCGCGCGAGCACTTAATCGTTATACCACTGAACCAGCATCCAATGGTGTTAATATCTAACTTAACTATTGTAGAAAAAATGATGTAACCACGTTGAAAAACTAACCTCAGAATAACAGAAATATTCATATACTGGTTAACCCATTTGATATTAATACTAATAATGTTAAAGTAGACAGTCACCAAACTGTTCATATACATATATACATATTAGTAATAAAATATCAAATTAACTGTTCACTTACCGATTATGCTCCCGTATAGCTTGTTGATTAAAACGTTCATTAATCATCTTAAATTAATACTTATTACTATGAATGTATCTTTAGAAAAAAACAAAGAAGAAACAGAATGAAAGAAATAAGAAAAAACAAAAAAGAATAAGACCATAGTAACTATTGAATTTCACTGAATACTTTTCATGATTATAATCAACAATTAATATTGAATAAACAATAATCATAATTATCACTACGACTACTATTTAATGAATTTACAAAATAAAAAAAAACAAACAAATAAACAACCGAGTCACTTTTTTTTAAAATAAACTTTCCATTTAAATAGTTCAATTTACTAAACACAAGGTTATTTTCATCATTACTATTATTATGATGATGCATTATTATTAGTAAATTGAATATGTGTGTTTCTTCTTTATTCTACAATTGGCTTCACGTGATTAAAAAGAAGATCTAATTCATTCATTCATTCATTTCTATTGGTTAAAATAGTTGCTATGATCAAAATGTAAAAGAAAAAATTTTTTTTTTAATTTTTATGAATTTATTCATTATTAATATAAAGATGAAGAAAAAAACCCAATTCATCTTAATGATTGGATTATATAGAAAAATGAACGAAAAAAGAAAGAAAAAAGAAAAGAGAAGAAAGATAGAATAGCAGAAAGAAAGAAAGAAAAAAAAAAAGATTGGTAACTTAAATAGAGAGAAAAGAAAAGAAAAGAAGACAAAGTAAAATACTAATCACATACTGTGTAAAACATACAATTTCATTTGACAGTTTATTATTAAATACTTATGACAAATACAGGTCATAATGAGTTAGATGATTGTAAAAACTGTAGTAGTAGTAATAATAATAATAATAATAGTACTTATTATTATGATTATTACCTTCAACATACTTATTCCTACTGAGTTTGTACTGATTTATATAGTTGTAAATATACATACAGATATGTGGTAATTCTAAGGAGAATTTTGGTATACAATGCATAATGGTATTAACTTTAGAATTCAATTCTATTGTGTATATATCTGTAGTATATTACATTAATGACATAGTTTTCTTCATCAGTATCACTAATGAATAAATGAGTAAGTACACGTGATTAGTATTAGAAATCTTGATGAAACATACTGTCAATGATAATATTTTTTATGGTACATTTATACTTTAATAGGAAAATAATATATATACTCAAATGTATATAAATAAAGGAAGGAAAGATATACAGTTAGTTTTAAAGTCGTAGTCAATAAAAATAGAATGAACCGAGAGAAGGAATTTCGGTGAGACTCTAATTTATGGACGAGCCAATCAGAGGCGTTTTAGAGATCTCAAGGTTACGGCGCCAACTTCAGTGCTTAATACTAACGTACAATCGGTTCACAGGGAATTTTGTACAAAACGTGATAATTGAGCGGTTATAACAAATAAAACGGCGAAGCTATAATTTGTGGACGAAACAATCAGGTGTGAGATAATAGATCTCGGATTTTAACGTGAAAGCCTTTCCTCCTTTTCGTTAAATAAACTCCTGGGATTATAGCTGATGTCAGTTCGTGATGAGAATTCCATATTTAGTTTCTAACTAAGGCAAATTACGACAATTATCGCCAACTGGATAATAAAAGCACCAGTAACACTGGCTGCAGCCAGGTACTACAATATATACGGATGTTTGAAGAGCGTACAGACTCCTACATAGGCTTGGTTATGTGCATCATATCGTTATCCACAAGTAGCATTTTGTGCACTCAACAACCGGAATGCACATAAGCAATATTGAAGCTATGTGGTTGAGGCTGATGGAGTTTTTGAGACTTTTTCATGGCTCCAGAGGCCGACTATTCTGTAGGCATGTGGATGATTTCCTCTACTGCAAGCATTACGATTTTAGAACCTCTGAACCACTTTCTAACCTTGACAAGTTTTTGAACCATGTATAAGAAATACATCCATTTTATTTGCTTGGTTTTGTATAATTTATTTTTACTCTATACTGACTGTTTGCTGATTGGCTATTATTTCTCAAGGTCGCTCAAGATTCGTTCAAAGGTCGTCCATAAATTAGAGTCTCGCCGAAATTTCTTTCCTCTTAATTTTTCATCATGGCTCTACACTAATACATAAATATAAGACTTATGGAGTAGATACGTTACGTAATAATTACATAGTGACATATCGATTATAAACTAACGTTGAGTAATTAGAAGAACAAAAGGATAATCAATGTCATTATTCGAAAATCAAGCAGTTGCTACGTTTTCTGTACCGCCTTCCTTAACCTTTGAGTCACATTGTGTTTCTCTTCAAAGTAAATTAATGCTTATCATTTACTACATTTTAATTTGACCCTCTAGTTGTCTTACTAGATTCTTTCTAACTAAACTTTTAGGATAGATTATACTGTATAGATGATATCGGGTTATCTTATCAAGAAACACATGGAGTATTATCAACCTTTAAATAAATGTTACATGATGCTTCAAGATATTTATTGATTATAAGAAATAGTGATAATGATTTGTTGGCAATTAGTTTCAGTCGAAGTTATGTCACATGAAAGCAAAATTTTTAAATTAGAATGAACTGCTTATATACATAAGGATCACGAGAAACGAAGGTCGGTACGTTTCTCGTCCGACTTTTGCAAAAACATTCAGGATGTGTCAGTGAATTTCTGTCTTTGTCGTAATGCAATTATCAAAGGTAACAAGACTATATTGAGAAAAAATAAAGTGGAAACTATTCTTAAACTTTGTCCTTCACGTTGTTTAAAAAGTACATTCATTTAGCAAATGAAATTTCACAATCAATCACTGATTCTAAATACAGTCTGATTGTATAACTTCTTTTTCAAGGGGAATCAACCAAGACTTAATATTGCACTGAGCTATTTTCATGTGATGCAAAAATTCTACTCAAACAGTCTAATGAAGTGATAAGACCTTTTAAAGTTAACTCCAATTGTCTTTACTTATATACTTATAACTACGGTTACAAGTACTTCAATGGAATGGAGTTTTATCTAGAAGGGTTTCTGGACCCATATAAAAAATGATGTCAATTAATATCCACAAATCCTGAGGTAGAGAAATATATGTCATGGATACAATAGGTCCCAATAGAGTTTTAGAATAATAGAAAGTAGCAGAAGCTATTCGTCATTTTTACTCCTATTTTGAATGATCCTACAAATGTTTGAAAAGGTTTATACGACAAATAACCTTTGCAAACATCATCCGTTCTCATTGTGAGATAGTGGGAATTGTTAAATTTCAATTAAATCATGAACCAATTTCAGTCAGACAACTAATAGAACGCTGGAAGCATTGGATGAGTCTGATACTATGGTGAAATGTCTGTCCAGTGCTTCAAGGTTACTCATTCCTGATTTGATGGCAGTAATACCTTTATTGTTCATTTTCTAATTTATAATTGATACTATAATAGACTTTATTATTCTTCCCATTAATCCAATACAATATTTCACATGTTTACCAATTTAGCTATTTACATGTTTACTTTTTCATACTCTCGTCAAATATTATTATAACTTAATACTTAACACTGTAGAATGATCTGAATCAAGCATCACTGAAAACTAGGGAACCCCGGATAGTAATTTTGTGTTAGTACACGAATCTTTAGTAGTGCACATCCATGACTCTGTCACCATAGGACGAATATATGAAGTTCAGTCTCACTCAAATACTCAATCTCTAAACCACTGAGCCAGCATCCAATTGTTGCGTGCTGTTGAATAGTCCAATACGAGTATGAAGCAGCTCTCTACTTATTCCCGGTTTTCAGTGATGTTCTGCTAAGATCATTCGTGACGCTAACTTTGAAATTGCGAAATCTCACCAGAAGTTAATTTAACTAAACCGCAAGTATATATTTGAAGTTATTAGGTTGATTATTCGTAAAATGAACAAAATAGTAACCTACAGGATAATTATTTAATGATAAACTAAATAACTCTATGAATGTTACGTACAAACTTGCATTCGTGAGTCTACGAAATATAACATTCTCCATAAACCCCATTTACCAATGATAATCATGTACTCTCTATTAACCAATTCCATGAGGCAATTTACGAAGACCTAGTAACAACCCGTGTTTAATGGAGTTCAACCTAACATAGGTATTCACAATGACAATGGATGTCAGCAGCATGATATCACAAATTCACTAAAGTTAGACATGTAAACGATTGAGTGGTAACTCAATGATCTGAAGGTTAAAGATTAAGACGATTCTTGAAAGTTTTAGGTGTTACTCTTTAAGGAGATATTTGATGGGCATTGATGATGTGTCTTATACTTAGACTAATCCATTTTCTAATGCTTCTTGCTTTCTAATAGTACCTCAACATGAGTTAACGCTTGACGAATACAGTATCGGTTATGGTATGATCTATTTATTCTAGCTAATCGTTACCTCTAAACTAATTATATGAACAATATTTGATTTGAAAGTACTTCGCTTTTAGTTCTATAATATCTCTATTAATTGTATTTATACTCAAACTATACATCGGTTAAGAAAATCACAATATACACCTGATAGTATACAACAATTTCTATGTAGAAACACTTGATAATCAAAATGTTTCATTATGATCCTATTCATATTTAAACTACCCCTTTTTCTATATATCTCAATAATTCTTATTATAAATGATAAAACTCATGATTAAATTGAGATTTAGAATAGAATATAAATATTACTGTGTTTTATTCATGCCTTGAAACTGTCATAATTGACTGATTCTACATAATACATTCTCATTGTCACATTGTAATAAAGATTTCGAATAAATGAATAAAATAGAATGATTATGTAATAAAAATTATTGCTTAAAACGAAAGGGACAAGAATATGAAATTCTTTGAGTTTCCTTCATTTTTTATTTTATTTATTTTAACACATAGATATTGGTGCAAGGATGCACCAAATACATATGCGCCACACAGATCTCATTTGATATGTGTAAGGGCTGTGATACTGCCCGGGTGCCCAAACCGAAACAGGTGG